TTTAAGTGACATCTTACTATTAATCCATTTTATAACTGAAATAATTTTGTCAATGATTTCTGAATTTTGTGGGAATCTTGTCTGAGGTTCATTGTGTGTTTTTACAAATTCTTTCTTGAAGTTGTTATGCCCCATTTATTAAGAATTGCATTGCAATGTTTGTCAGAAGAATTGCAATTACATTTTTTGCCAAAATTGTGCAGCTCTGCACTGAATGTTAAGCTTGAACCCCTTCATATCTTTATGCAAGTTTTATCCGTCAACATGTATTAATGGTAGGTCTAACACAAGATCTTTTGACCAAGGAATGGTTTACATGAGACAAAGCTTGAAAAAAATCATTCACGTTGAATGATGCACTGCCCATCAGAAACTGCACACTACGCAACAACCCCTTTCTCATCTTATTGATGGCACACCTGATTCCTGACTGACATTAGCTTTTAGAGATGGCATCAGCCATCCATGTTTTTGTGTGCAAATTGCATTTTGCAATGAGAAAATTAAAACCCAAAATTGTTTAAGGTATTAGTTTTAGCAGATTGATTTGTTTGTTTGGATTTATCCTCGTTCTCCAGCATGTGTCCTGCACCGCGTGGCCTTGGTCCTCGTTCTGTAGCCTGAGACCTGGATCTATAGCCGCCCCCTCATGGGAGCGGATCCCTCTCTCAACGTGGACATCCCCGAGGTTTATCACTTTTTCCCACTGCGTTTTAGAGGTTTTCCTTGCCAATGTAGGTGGGTAGACCCTTGTGAGGACAGTGGTAATGATCCAGGAGACTCAACATTTATGGACATTGGTCATCCGTCCCTTATGGACCACTGGCTCTGTGTTTTTCTATCATTGCATTTCTTGAGTTTGAACTGTTTGATTCTCTGATCTGTGTTGGTTTTAAGTCCTACGAGATATCTACTGTTGGGATTTAGGGCTATATGAGAATACATTGAATCGAATTGAATTTAGATAAAATAAAAATCACTTCGCATTTATGACATTTATTTCTTGCCACTGTATAATAATTTATTGATCTTTGCCTTTTCAAATCAACAATATCATAGGCGTAAACAAGTATGATTTGTCACCATATGCATCTTTATGTAGGACAGGCATCAAGGGAAGCCTTGTGACCTGTGACACCATAGAGCTTTGAGGAATGTGGTTCTGGTACAACCTGTTATAAAAGGAATGGCTTTACTAATTCATCTGACACATTTAAGTCAAAATTAATGCATCACACAGTACAATACCTATTAATAAAATAAGCAACGATTAGTCGGCCTAATCGACTACATTGACTATTAAAATGGGTCAACAATGGTATATTTTTTTTAAGATTCCAGAGGGTTTGTCCTGGAGACAAATTACTTTGAGCATGTTTGATGCAGTCTAAATCGGCGAGTTAGGCTACGCTGAATACTGGGACAGAACCGCGTGTGTGTTGCCCTGTTCTTCCCCACTGTTGCATTGTTGAGACTGAGAGTGCAACAAAGGTGCATATTTTATACGTCTTTCAATCAAAAAAGCACTATGCATTTATACACGGCCGCTGCTCTATGCAGTTTTGATTGTGCATCCTTGACCGTCACAGCAAACACGTCAAGACACACACACACCACACACTGGCTGAGTGGATAGCACTCTCGCCTCTCAGCAAGAAGGTCCTGGGTTCAAATCCCGGTTGGACCAGGGCCTTTCTGAGTGGAGTTTGCATGTTCTCCCCGTGTCTGCGTAGGTTTCCTTCGGGTGCTCCGGTTTCCCCTACCACTAAAAATATGTACAATAGGTCTTAGGGATGTAAAAAACTATGAATTTTCATGACCGACCACCGAGCCTCATTAACCGGTTGAAACCGGTTAACCGCGTAGTTTAAAATAGTCCACGTTCTTTGAAATAACAGCCATTTCGAGCCGCGTACTTTTCATAAGTGCAGCTCTGCGTTCTACTGGATCAGAGTTGAGACAGCGGCGCCCAAACCCGCAACAGCTCCGGCACCTTTGCGCACAGAGAACTGCTTTTTTAATCTTCCCATTCTGCTGTGCTGTGGGTTAATACCAAAACTTTCTAGCAGCAAACGACGGCTCGTTCACATGGTCAGAGCAGCGAGTGACGAGCCGCGTCTCACAGGTCTTCACAAAAGTTTAAATACAAGTGATGTGTGTGGAGCCAGTGCCGGCGTGGCTAATCGGGAGAGCCGGGAGGTTTCCCGGTGGGCCGGTTGGGCTAAGGGCCGGTGGGCTGGATGTTGTATGTTGCTGGTTCAGACTTGGCCGGCGGCCGTGCTTTCCTGACATCGCTGTTCACCGCAGCCTTCTCGGACCTGTCGCTCGCCCGTGCGCACTGCCTCTCTCTCTCTCTCTCTCTCTCTCTCACCCACACACACACACACACGCACACACGAGTAAACAGCACACACACTTCTGGCTAGTCTCATTTGGCCGCTTTCATTGGTTACGATGTGTTCTGCAACGGCCTGATTGGTTGTCTGTAGATTGTAGGCGGGACTAACCGAGAGCGCGGGCCATAGATCAGGTTGAATGACAGATAGAACTGAAGCAAGCGCCGTTTCTCACAGACATGACATCTGTCCAACACGAGTGTTTTTAAAATGGAAAGGAACAAAATCAAGGGCTGAGGAGAAAAGATTAGAATAAAAAAAAGGAAAGCTCTTGAAGCTGAAGCAGCCAAATGTGCAAAGTTGGTAGTTTTCTTCTATAAAAAGTGCTCCGCCGATGAAGAGGCATCAGACCGCGGTAAGCTAGCAAAAAAAACATGCAAAACACTGTGGCAAAACATGACGAGGTGATTCTCTAAATGATTAGCACTCCATTACATTTATTGCTTCTTGGGTCCTCAGATACAACAATCGTTCATTCATATTAATGAAGAGCCCCAGGAATGGGCAGGTAAAAACCAAAAAGATTGTATTTTTAATCAAATTTGACTAAGCCACTAAGGCCATTAATTTATTTATTTCATAATGTATAATGTTTATTGCATAAATTACATTTTTAACTTCTTTGTACATTAGGAAAGTAACAGTTGAATATTTTGTGTGTTTGTCAAAAGATGTGAAGCATTTATGCTCATGTCTACAGAAAAGACATCCTTTGTCATTGGATAATGACATTATCATAAATAAAGTTGCATAAACAAGTGCACTTCTACAGAGTTTACTCACGTTTTAATGTGCTTCATTTTGCTATTGTTAATTTGGGTTTGATTGATTTAAATAGTGTGCAGTTTGTGTTTTCTCGTCTTGATAGAGGTTAACATTTAGTTTGCTTTTAGTTCTCCCCTGGGACAACATTCAAGTACGTTAAGATTAATTTTGGTTTTGTATCAAGTCGTAGCAAGCACTGTTTATATCTATTTAGGTCTTAGTGTAGTATTCGCATTAGTCTTAGTTTTTGTTAAGTCTTGATAGGAAGATAATTGTTTAAAAGTTTCGATTCAATGCAAATAAATGCAGCCAAATCTTTGGGAATAACAATTATTTGAAGGAAAATTGACATTGGTCTAAAAATTGGTACAATTCATATTGTGATACCAGAATATTCAAATATTCAAATGCATTGTTGAGTTATTTTTTGACTAACACTGAGAAGTCTAAAGCGGTGAACGCAGAATCATTTGAATAGTACTAGTCTAGAAATATATAAAACTTGATTTTAGGCCACCTGCTGGTTGTTATGGATACTACAACAGCAGCAGTTCAGGTTTTTTGATAGACTACTTTATCAGAAAGGCCGATCTGACCCAGAATTCCCGGGCCAAAAAATTGTCCCACTCCGGCCCTGTGTGGAGCTGATCCCGAGGACCATAAACACAAACATGTTCCATGTGGTTTGACTGGAGCCGCGTATTTGAGGATCCTTTGGGCTCCGTGACACAGAGGAGCGAGACAGACCGGTATGTGTGTGTGTATGTGTGTATATGTGTGTGTGTAAATGTAAGCTCCAATGTAGTTCTGACCCGCGCCAGTGTGCAACTTTGACGGTAACAGAGGGGAGAGATGATGCGTGTGGATGTTACGTATGGAGAGGGGGAAAGTGTGTGTGTGTGTGTGTGTGTGTGTGCGCGTGTGTGTGTGTGAGGGCGTGTGTGCATATGTGGCTCGTGCGGCGTGAGAGTCGTCCCGGAGTTTATAATACATTGGCGCACACAGCCAGATATGGACCCGCTCGTCACACCGTGCAAATAGGGCTTAAAATAGCGTTATTAAGAGACCTCCCCTCTCCCCTTTTTCTCTTTTTTAACCGACAGCTTTGACCGGTTAACGCTGTGACGGTCAACCACCGGTTAACCGGTCGCCGATTTACATCCCTAGGTCTGGCATGTGCCTCCTGTACTGGCACCCCAACTCCCAAAAATAACAATTGTAAACCGCTTTGAGACTCCGATGTGCAGTGAAAAGGCGGTATATAAATAAAGATTACTTACTTACTTACTTACACAAGTACTATATTGATATGATTGATTGCCCTACGGGGATCAATAGAGTGCACCTTTACGTTTACCTTTATATGAAATCAAAACCACCTAAAAATAATTACTATACCAGTTTATTTGTACATGTACATGCACATGTTTAAACTAAGACTACAAATAAAGACAACATGCTCTAGTACTTTGTCATGAATGCAGTAGCAGCAAATTTTAGATTTTTTAATCATTTCCTACATTAAAACTGCAGTAGCTCACTCGTTATTGGAAAATTAGCTCTTGATTGGATAGGGCGGGCGCCCATGTTTATAGGTGTAATCAACCAAACGTGGTTTGCTGCTTGGATGTTTACATTAGACTCAGAGCACTATAGCACTGCACCAGTATTATTTAGGAATACATACAAATCATACATACACTATAGTTATTGTTTTTATAACACAAATTAGTTGTTGACCAGTTGATAGTGACAGCCCTAATTAAGATTCTATTGAATCATTTGTTCAATCATCTTGTGTATTGACTGTGTAACTCTAATTGTCATTTGCAGGAGACGATGAGGAGAAGCAAGAGAGCAGAAGCAGTTCTACAGTCTGGCCTGGATGTCAAAGCTAGTGATGGTATGTGTTCTTTGAATCTGGTAAACGGCATGATTTTTACTTATTCAATCATTTTGTTTTTCTCTTATGCGGTTTATTCTTATGAAATAGAGCGTATGGATTGGCCTTCACCCAGTGGACAAACTCGGACATAACATCTAGTTCAGGTCATGCCAACTTCAGCTTTGCACCTGTTGTTATGACTTATAATTAAGTCTTTCGATGTGACGTGATGTGTGACGTGAGATTGTCTTTATAATGCACATCCTGAAAAAGCTCTGTCGGAAAATGACTCACAACTTGGGAAGCTCTGAACAAACTCTAAGAACTAAATCTGCACTCAAAGGGCCCACGGCCATGTGTGCTTCTGAACTCAACCTAGTCTGTTCTGAACTTTGACAGAATTGGTGGCCCATACGGAGGGTGGCGGACCCTCAAGGCCTGCAAAGCCTTCACTGCTGGCCTAAACGTGATTACATACATATTTTTTATTTTATCTTCATATTAGTATTTGTTATCTATGTTTATTTTTCACAAACTACATTGGTTGTGCAGCTTCCAACTTCAGGACGACATTTGGGAGGTCTGGCGTCTAACAGAGTTTTTATCCAATCTTTGCTCAGCGTCATGTGTTGCTATGGGCCAAAATCTACCTCTGGGCCTTCAGAGTCTACATTGCTGGCCCACGGTAGCTTATAGTAAATGAAAACGAACCTGTGGCAGTGACCAATCAGTGTCAAGTCTGTTTCCTGCGTAGCGTCAGAGCATGCACCTCTTCCGATTGGATTTGGATCTATGTTCATGTGATAAACAGAAACAAACACAAATGCTAATATGTATAGCACGAGTTATAGTTTTTCAACCCTCTACGGCTGAAGGAGGTGAATATATCGTTCTGGTAGATAGAACGCCTTTCTCAAGAAAAACAGACAGAGAGGGACCAGGAGAGCCAGGACCAGGAGAGCCAGGACCAGGAGAGCCAGGACCAGGAGAGCCAGGACCAGGAGAGCCAGGACCAGGAGAGCCAGGACCAGGAGAGCCAGGACCAGGAGAGCCAGGACCAGGAGAGCCAGGACCAGGAGAGCCAGGACCAGGAGAGCCAGGACCAGGAGAGCCAGGACCAGGAGAGCCAGGACCAGGAGAGCCAGGACCAGGAGAGCCAGGACCAGGAGAGCCAGGACCAGGAGAGCCAGGACCAGGAGAGCCAGGACCAGGACCAGAGAGCCAGGACCAGGAGAGCCAGGACCAGGAGAGCCAGGACCAGGAGAGCCAGGACCAGGAGAGCCAGGACCAGGAGAGCCAGGACCAGGAGAGCCAGGACCAGGAGAGCCGGGACCAGGAGAGCCAGGACCAGGAGAGCCAGGACCAGGAGAGCCAGGACCAGGAGAGCCAGGACCAGGAGAGCCAGGACCAGGAGAGCCAGGACCAGGAGAGCCAGGATTTTGACCTGACCAGAGCAAACACAGCTGCAGCAGAACTGAGGCTAAAAGCCGATGGAACAGTTTAGCTAGGCTAATGCATAAAACACGGAACGGCGTCCTGCCCATGGATCTATTATAATAACGGCCCTGCCTCACCACCGGTAAGAAATTAGAACATTAAAGCTCCTACGCAATACTTGTATTGTAGTTGGACTTTCCATTATCAAGACCATTATCGAGATTTTTTATTTGTCAAACCAAGTGAATGGTTTGAAATTATATTTCTCTCATCCTTGATTGTGGAGTGGGGGGTGGGGGAAGAGGGGTGGGAGGGAGGGCAGGGAGTTAGCTTCCTGATGGCCTTGTGAATGAAACTGTTTTTAAGTCGACTGGAACTGTTCCGTAAATTCTGCAGTCTCCTCCCTGAAGGCATTACCCTGAAGAGCCTGTGTGATGGGTGCGTAGGGTCCCTGGTGATTCTGACGGCTTTGCGGGTGAGACGGGTGGAGTACATGTCCTTAATGGTGGGGAGAGGGGCTCCACAGATCTTCTCTGCTGCTCTCACGATGCGCTGGAGGCTCCTTCGACAGGAGGCAGTGCTGGTGCCGTGCCACCCAGTGATGGAGCTGGTCAGGATGCTCTCTACAGTCCCTCTGTAGAAGTTGCACACAACAGAGGCCGGGACTCCTGTAGCGCCTCTTGTGACGCCTCCACTGTGCTGCAGATGCGTGGGGCCCTCAGTGACCTGTCAGCGCTTCAGAAGATGATATCTCTGGATTTGTAGGTCTTAAATACTGCTCAAAAAGCCTTTAGCTCAGATGCTAACTGTGTGTTTACTTTTAAAAACACATCCTCTGTTCATTGCTAGCAAAGAGCTTTGGCAGTAAAAAATCCGCTCAACTCTACAAAAACATGGCAAAGATGTAAAACAACATCTTTCAAAACAATGCGGATCACAAAAACTGCAAATGCAGTTTGCAGAAAAGGGTAGAAACGTCACCTTGTCAAGAGAGAGAGAAGCCGCAGCATGTTCATGCGCCGCCATGGTAACAAGGCATTTCCCACATTAATGCTCAAAACCGGGTCCTGGATGCTCGTGTTGCACTCAGTCATGTTCTCAGATACTGTCAGAGAAGAAAGTCAGGCGTGTGTGTGCAAACTAGGGGAACCTAAGGGTACCTGACGATACGATGCGATACACGATACAAAGCTCACGATAACAATAATATCGCGATAACAATTTTATCACGATATGACGATTATCAATTTATTGGTCAAAAATATACCATATGCCAATTTATGGCATAAATTAAAAAAAATTAGGGGAAAAAATACACTTTATTTCATGATAAATGGAATGGAGATTTGTAATGTAGCCATATATTAAGTATTGATACTAATGAAAAAAATATATATACGAGAAAAATAAAATCGATATCGATACTTGGCAAATGCATATCGATAATCGAATCGCGGGAGAAAGTATTGCGATATATTGTCACGCCCCTAGTGCAAACTACAGCGATGTGCCTCCTGTCAGTTTAACAGGCACACTGCTGTAGGAAGGGGGGGAGAATCTGCGGCACAAAAAAAGTTGGAGATTGCTGGCTTAGGACATCACTGCAGGCTCAGGTCTGAAATGCACGGACCGCCACTGCCATACGGGCATGTCGGGCCAGAAGCACACATGGTTGTGGGTCCTTTAATTCCAGTTTCAATTCTTACAGAGTGGCTCCAGCTGGTACAGAGTCATTTTCAGAGTAATTTTTAAGCAGAACGAAGTCAGGATATGATTAAATAATACAATCTTACATCATACATCATCTTACAACATTATAGTCATAACAACCGGTCAAAATCTGAAGTCTGCATGACCTGATCACTTCCATGTTATGTCTGTTTTTGTCCACTGGGTGAAGGCTATTTCATACTCTATTGAGTATTTCTTCTCTTGTTTATACTAGTTTTCAGACAGAGCTTTTTCAGGATATATGCATCATAAAGACAATATTATGTCACATCAAAAGACGTTATTAAAAGTCATAACAACAAAGCTGAAGTCGGCATGACCTGAACTAGATTTTATGCCTGCAATTGTCCACTGGGTGAAGGCTAAATATTCTCCATTGTTCATTTTCTTCTTTTTAAACAGAGATAACATCTGCCTGGAATGGCTTGGCCCAGTCCAAAGCTGCTGTATGTTCACTATTTGACCATGCATTATTAAACTAATATATACACATAAATACTAGTATGTTTTACCTACATTCATATATTTGTGCCATTTAGTTACGGCAGATCGAAAACAAACTAGAGGCAGGTCCAGGATCAGGGGTGTTGCTGGAATCTGTTATGGTATCTTCCAAGAAAAAACCCTCTAGAAAAGATTTGAACAAAGGTATCCACCGATTTAAGTCATATCAGTTCTGGTTGGGTTTTGTTTGTAAATGCTTTGTTCACTACAGATGGACAACAACGTGATCAAATAGAAAAATCCACAAAAATGAGAAGTGGTCATTCAAGAAGTCCAGAAAAGAGTAGTTCTCGAGGACCACTTCAGAACTCCACCCAGGAAAATACTGCACGCAATAGTGTGGAATTCAGAGAGCCATTAGCCTCCTACAGGTAATGTACCACTATGAGTAACATGTTTTACTTTGAGTATAGACATTTAAGAGCTTTTAAGATACAGTAATAGAAGTAGAATATATAGGTGTTATACAATCTGCAAGGGATCCTGTTTTTCTGTTCTTCTTTATTACTATGGGGCATTCTATCAAGAGAATGGCAAAGTTATTGTTGGAAATCACTACCAATGATGAGTGTACGTATAAAGTCCTGCTAACAATTCCTAATATGAGTAGTCAAAGTTATTCCAATTATATGTTGCAACCCTACATTTTGCACAGCAAGTGGTAAATTAAAAAGGAAATCTTGAGCTTCTATCTAATCCTGTGTAATCTGGTTCGTATTCAGAGAGGCCACCCCTCCGCCACATCCTTCGTCTAAGCCTGAACTCGGCAGTCTGCAGTCGGCAACAGGGTCTTCATACTCATCACAGCTGTCAAATTCAAATCTTGTGTACGAGAGAGAGAGCAGAGACAAGCAAACGGACGAAGATGTGGATAGCACACACTCCTCCACAGTGGAACGAATGGAGATCCGCTACCTCAATGACCTACCAGCCCTGGACACAATAAGGACTAATCTATCTCACTCTCGGGAGCTTACCAGAGAAGCCATACAACAAACCAGCACTGTCAAAGCACAAATTTTACAGAGCACTGACGGCAAAGGGAGTGGAAGCACGCCGTCCACTAGTCCTGGGTCTGCTTCACAACGCTTGGAAAACCTAAGACGTCATCAACCAGATGATAAACTGGAAAAGCTAAAGGAGCGAATTCGAAAGCAGAGAAAGCATCTAGAGGAGGCGGCTGAAAAAGAAAAGTTTGGGAGTTATTTAGAACGACCGCTTGTTGGAAATGACAGCTGTGGTACGAGCACCATTCCATCTGTTAAAGTACGGAAAGTGGCAGCTGCGCCTTCAGCTCCTATCTATAAAGGTATAAAGGTTATAAACCAAAACATTTTTATTTGATGGCTTACATTTTAATTTATGTTTTGTTTTTTAGGTTTCAATAGTACTCAAACAAAAATACAGACCCCTGATGGAAAAATTTGGCGTGAAGAGGACTTCCACAACCTCAGTTGCGGAATTTATAAAGACTTGTCTCACCAGTTTGCAGGTAAAATTTCTATAGTGAAATAAAGCAATTCAGTTACTGTATGTTAAAGACATAATGAACATTTTCACACGTTTAGACCCATAATCAGTTAAGCATGTAAATCTGGATATATTGTCGCCACATGGGTCCAATTATTTGTGTTTTTCTTAGTCTCATCTTCGTATGTGCGTCTTGACTGTTCTTTAATAATAATAATAATAATAATAATAATGCATTGGTTTTATATAGCGCATTTTTGGACACTTCACTTTTTGGACATCTCACATGACATTATTCATTCACTCTACATGGTGGTGAGTAGCTACTAATGTAGCCCCCTGGAGCAGACCGAGGCAACCAATGTGTGCTATTGGCCTCTCCAACCACAACCAATCATTCACCCATATTGCCTACTATGCAGAATGCGGTGTCTTCCAGTGGCACTTTACAGCCGTAGCTGCCTCACTGGCACCTTTTGCCCGTAACCTTTTGTTGGCAATGTTAAAGTGTACTTTTCCTGTCAAATATCAGAAGAATCAGAATCATTTTTATTGCCACGTAAGTAACAGGAAGTCACAGACTTGGAAATTGCTTTGGCTCAGTGCAACAGTCAGAAAGAGATAATAAAAATAAGAATAAAAAACACTTCTAAGGAATAAATTTAAATTTAAAATAGAGTTACAGTTACTATTTACAATATACAAATATAGATTACAACTAAATAGAGTTACAGTTACTATTTACAATATACTAATATAGATTACAACTAGATGGAACACTGAAGCTTTTTATGTCTTTTAATAAGTAAAAATATCTGTAAGAATGGGTGTTGAAACAGTCTCTTATGTATTTGTGTTCTGTGACTGATGTTTTTTAACAGAAGGCACAAGATCTCTGCTTCTGAAGGGACAAGGAGACTTCCCCAAAGAAAGAAAGCCTCATAAATCTGTGAGGAAAGTCCAAAAGGTTCACCCCATCTCTGACCTGTCAAGACCAGGTAAAACCAGTTGGATACACAGACTTTGGTTAAATGTAATGTTTGTAAAACCTAGTTGTATTACTTTCTAGTGTGGTGCTATTAGTTTTTGGTGTGCTGTCCTGTGTTGGGAAATTCTATAAATAATCTTCCTTATGTTTGGCTGAGTACAACTGACTTATCCTGGATACAGCTGTTGACCAAAAGGATGAGTCTGCTCTAATAAATGAGAGACACTGGCAACACATGTTTAAAGTTAGACTAACTCACTTTGTGACTTTGAAGCAGCAGTTTCAAATGTGAGCGCTTGTGCGAATATTCGATCTAAAATAAAATTACACTCCAGTACAAACCAGCGCTATTTATTCTTCAAAAGGATGTATATCCCAATGCACTGCATGTATATGGATTGAATTTTCCTAATGAATACAAAAATAAAGTACACAATACACACAATACAATTTATTCTTGTATAGCCCTAGGTCACAACAGAAGTCATCTCAGAGGACTTAACAAAACCATTGAAATCACCAACACAGGTCAGAGAATCAACAGTTAAAACACATGAAGAATATAAAGCACACACAGAAGAAAATGTCCATACAGTTTGTAGAATGCTAAAGTGTCCTGATCATCACCAATCCTTTCTGTTGGACACTAACTGTCCAACAAGACCCTCCTGCATCGACAAGGAAAAACTCTTAAAAAACCCAGTGGGAAAAAGTGAGAAACCTTGGAGGAGAACTAGGGAAACCCACAGGGAGGGAGACCCATATGAGAAAGGGATCCGCTCCTCCGGACGGACAGGCTAATGATCTAGGACCTAAGCTAGCTACAGAACGTGGACCAGTGGACGCTGAACGTGGACAGGTCCGGTGCAGGACTGAAGCACTCCCAGGCGGGTCGGGCGGGGCAGTCCGCAGGTGTAGATGGAAGAGGCCAGGCTCAGAGATCCCGTCATCGTACCATGAAACAGACAATGGGACAACGGGTGAATAGCAATGAACAAACTACAGTCAGAATCCTAAAAATGCTAAACAGATAAAGTAGGAAGGAGGAGAGGATAGTGCTCAAGTTACCATACTTCTCCCAGCAAACTGACTCCCTATGCAGCTTGACTAACACTCTGAGGAGTTTAACCTTCTCCGAGTCTTACCTTCCTAGCCATATGCTAAACTAAAGAGGACTGTTTTAAACCTAGCCTTGAATAAAGAATAACATACAGCATAATATATAACATAATATACAACATAACACAATACATTATTGAATAATATATAACATAATATATAACACTGTGTCTGACACCTAGGTCAGATTTCCTCGCATATAGTGCTTTAGACTTCAAGCGGGGAACACACACAGTTTCAATCTGACTAGGTTCTGAGGCTAGTAACTGAGCACACACAGGCACACACACACATGCACACACAAGTTTCAATCTCACAGTTTCAAAGTGAGGTAATCCAGCTTTAACTTGCATACTGTATGCAACTTTTAACAAAAGTATGAGCAAAAACCAAAAATGGTCCTTTTAACTTGAGGCAAGTTTTTTAACATTTGAAGAAATGGTAAAAGGCCTTTTTTCAGAAAGACATTTGTATAGTTTTCAACTGTGGAAGTGTTATTTCGACAGTGGTATTCAAATTCTATCCTCAATTATCCCACCATCCATTTTCTACACATTTGTCCATTTCTGGGTTGGGAGATCAGCCTGCTGGTGGTGAGTCCACAGGATGGCTTCTCTGTCAGTGACACAGCCTTGATCTTTCAACAGCAGACAGTTGGAGAGTCTGTGGAGAAGGTCTTGTGTTGTGGGCTCCAACCACCACAATTCATCAGCAATTTGCCTGATGAAGGTCTCAGGACCTAAACGTAACATTTACCAATACAAATATTTTTTTTTGGAAACAGCAGTGTGTGGGAACCATTATTTTTTTCATGTGCACCGGGACTCTTTCCCCCTCTTCTACGCACCTGCTTTGGCAATTGATGTGCAAAGTTTTACTTCTTAATATTGGGACATGAACTAACAACCTTCAGACTCAAAGGCTAATGCTCTACCAACTGAGCCACCCTGTAGCAAATGTAATTAATGAATTATGAACCCTTCATTGGTGTATTATACTGTATATTCCTGTGAACTTTATTTATTTTGTTCTTTGAAGATTCACAATCCCTTCATCCAAACCATATGTTTTGTTTCCATGCAGCTATAAGTCCTGCTTCATGGCGAGAGGGTCAAAAGCTTGTGACGATGATATTAGGAAAAAATCCTATAGTGACCACTGAGGAGCCCCAAAAGTCTAAGAGATCAGAAGAAAAGGGTAACAATTTCTTGATTATACTTTTGGTACATACAAGTATGTATTTAATAATGATTTGTTTTGATTCTGTGTCATTCAGGCTCCCATTGTAGATCCAGTTCAGAGCCAGGTGTAGAATTAAATCCACATAAGTGTACCCAAAGCAGAGCAAGGCAGCAAGCAATCTCTGAGTTTAATAATACTGTAAAAGCCTCACCCTCGGCCGTACAAGAACAGTCTTCTGTGCCTGTGAGGTCAGACATGTCAGACGATATCAAAGGAATTCTGGACGACCTTCAACTTCAGTGCAAAAATAGAGAGAGTGATGAGCGCACCCATGCCACATCCCAGCGGGAGACAAGTCGCAGACACAACCGAGGGAATTCAGGCTCAAGAAGTCGGGCTACAATCCCTACTGTGGGAACTGCCTCAGCCCGAGGGTGTCGAAGCGCCAGTCCGTCCAATCGATCAAGAACTGTCAACAGAGTAGAGCCAGTGCAGAAAAAACGCCACTATGATGCAGATACAGTTCGTCAATACATTGCCCAACAACAAGAAAAGAGAAAAAGACGACAGATGCAAGAAAAGAATGCCCTGATGAAGGAGGCCGAACAGCGGCAACAGAGACTGCAGGAGCTGTATAGAAAACAAAGAGAAGCTGCCCTCACATTGACCACGACCACAGAAAGTCCTGCACAGGTGCATCTAAAAAAGACTTTCAACAAACTGTTACACGAAGGAGCGCAACGAACGCAGGAGGCTACTCAATTGGTACAGATTCCGTTTCTATTGGTCATTACAGTAATTGGAGCTAGCGTCAATGTACAATTATAATTGTGTTTTATTCTTTATCTTTCATAGAGACCAATATACCAACCTTCTGGAGAGTCGGATAAAGAGAATAGAAGGCTTGAACAGGCTCAAAGCCTATCAAGTAGTGACCAATCTTTAAATCCTCTCCCAGGCTCCAGGTAACATACATTTACTTTACTCTTTTAAACATGGTTCTGCTACTTGATTCTCTTAGGGACGAAGATATTTTTGTTTTACTCTAATACTTTCTATATTGTGTCAGTACAGTTATATCTGTAGATGTAGATACCAATTCATGTTTTTTTTTTGTTTTGCTAAAATGTTGTCTACTTTCCATTTAGTAATGACTTCCATTTTGGAGAAGCCTCGTCAGCGCACCCTGGATATTTAATACCTACAATAGCACCTGTGGCTGGTCCTGTATGCAGTAATGAGCATCTTCTATCTCAGCTTCTCAGATTAGAAAGTGCAATAGCTGCAAGTGAAAAGCAAACGAAAAAACCTATCACTGCACTTAATCATTCACCGGACAAGATGAGTCGCATTGAAGCCCTGAAGGCTACAGCCACGTCCCTATCCAACCGTATTGAGAGTGAAGCATGTAAGCTTGCTGTGGAAGGCTTCAATTATGGACTTACAACTGCTGTGGATGCAGACGTCTTATCGGCCCCCAGGTCCACACACGCCCAAGGTGATGATCGTGTGTGGACAGAAAGTGATTACATGGCCTTCAATACTGAGCGATTGTCAGGATCTAGTATGCTCAAAGGGAGTGATTTTCCAAAACAGGATTGCATTGTCTTTAAGATTCCAAAAGAAAAAAATAGAATAGTGAACACTGGGTCTTACCCACAATCCTTTCCTTATAACAGGTCTTTTGAGAGTGTTGGATTAGGGTTGGCTACTGCCCAGGAGGAACATTCTGAGAAGAACTGGCAGCAACATAAAGTACATCCAGATCCTCACAACAGTTCAGAGTCCCTCAGTGAAGGTCCATTAAGTGAAGGCAGTCTCACTGATGGTGATGGCAGTCCTCTGCAGTCTGCAAATGCATTTAGACCCATTGGCCACCAAGGGGCAGTGCAACACTCTGGGAGGAAAAGTCACCAACGTCTTTCAGAATTCCAAAAGGAGGCTGAACAGTTTGCAGTGGTCAACTCACTCCTCACTCAGCAGGAAAACTCCAACCCTGTTTGGGAAGAGTTCAACAAAGGAAGCCCTCTAAGTGTCATTAATATTTTCACAAAAACCCTTCAGGAAAATGTTAAAGGTTAGTTCATTTAGCTCTGCTGCAGAAATACTGATCTGACTGTTAATACTACCTGATCACATGTTTGTTTGTTTCGTAGTTGGTGACATTTTTTCAGAGCGGAACTCTCCATCTGTGCATCAGCTACCATCAGGCAGTCATGTTGCAGATTTAGATTATGAGAATGACCCCCAAAAAGATGTGCATACATCCAGGTAATTGAGTTACATTGTTTATTTATAGTTCTATGTTGATTGATTAATTTCTTTCTGTAGCATTTCTACTTACTACTTACTTACTAGTTCTAGGGCAGGGCAATTCAACTTGATAACATTCAACTTGATTTAATAATTAGGCAAATTAAACTATTGATTTTATAATGATTTGTTGACACTTTTTGCTATATTTTAAAGACATTTAAACATTTTCTTCAACATTAAAAGGATGAACAAGACTATTTCTATTTTTAATTGTATTTTGGTAGACTGGGGGGGGCTGGGCTCTCAGGCCTTGTTGAACAAATTGAACATAGAACAATTTGAGTTCTATGCTGACCAAAGATTCAGTTACTCAATTTGTTGTTGGACTTTCCAAAATGTTGTGTTCTTCTGAAACCGTTCTAGTTGCCATTATGAGGAGCTGATGAGGCGCTCTACAAGAGGCGCTAAAGCAATTGATCCATCTGCCTCATCCCCTCAACACTCTTCTTGCTCAACTCCTGGTTCTTCACCTCTTTCAAAGAATTCCATCAAAATGAGAGGTGAGTAACTTTTATTCACTTAACTTTGTAGTTAAGTTAAGATTTACCAAAGGCATACCATTTATATATATTTCAGATCAGAGTGCTGGTACCACCTTGGTGGAGGAGCACAGAAGTACCCCTCTGCCAGAAGCACTATCCTTAGAATTGAGAAAATGGGACTCGAAAAGAAGCTCTGAAAACAGCCAGATTACTTCAGATGATATCTCTCAACTTTCTCATCGCGGGTACTACTTCATTCGGAAAGCTATTTCTAAATCTAGCATTTCTTTTGCCTGAAACTTTCAGTCATTCTGTTCTGTACTAAAGCAACACATTTATGATTTTGTTTTTTACAAGTGAATGTTTGACGACAAGAAGCTTCTTCATTTTATTGAAAATCAAAATTGTATGAACTTGGATTTTGCTCAAGACATTTAATGCAAAAATATGTTTGGCATATTGACCATACTCCTCATGTTCTAGAAACTTGAGGAGGCAGTGGTTTGTCCAGGAAACACTGGATATTTTGTTTGGGTGTAAAGGGTTAACACTGTCTGGGATAGCAGCCAAATGAAACTCCCCACCCCTCAAATTCCTCTGCCATCAAGTGATAATTAATCCATATTATAGTTTTTTCATAATATGCCACAAACCTGCTTTGTTACTGACCACCTTAAGTACATATATTTCTCTACATTAATGTGGAAATGTTTCCCCTCCATCCAGTGCATGACCTTTGCTACTCTGCAGAACAATGAAGGCATTCATGTTTTGGCCTCAGCTGCATAGCCTAGAATTTCTTTAACATACTCCTCAGAAGAGGAGGCCTTAATTTTGTGAGACTCTTGCTCAATACTTTTGAGGCAAAATGAGGTATACTAAAATTGTCCAACAAAACTACTAGAAAATAACTGCTTCATTTCGTAACTATGCTCACAGAGCGGAGTTGCTAATGTCAGACCTTTTGTGTGGTCAAAGATGTGCGAAAAATCGCATTTCCTCAAGTGTCATGCAAACACGACCACTGGTCCACGCTGCAATGACGGCACATATGTAACTAACTTTATTTCACCGTTAAACTTCCTCCACGAGAGAAGGGAGCAGAAAGCCACTGGGTGCCACTCGGGCGCATGCGAATGGCGGTGGATGAGAGCTTGCCGTCTTGGTTGAGTGTTATGAATATTTTTTGGTATAGATGCCAGGGTATCTCTTTTTAACTGCAAAAAATAATCTACTCACTGGTACAATTGAAGTAATCTTGAACATTGGGTATGGAGATACAGGGACAAACGAGTGCATGGACAAAATAGATAGCATTAATTCAAATTTGATTGGATTTATTTAGACGGGAAGATTTCTGCTCAATTGTTGCCCAAACGTTACTTGTTTTAGTAACATTTGGGCACCCCTGATTTATTGCTAATAAACTAATTGGAATTACATGTTTTATTCTTATAAACTTTTATTTTACTAGTTCGAATGTGGCCAAGATGTCTCCACCATCCAATAATAGACAATCTCCTGGATCCTTGGATCATAGTTCTTTGGAAAACTCTTTTAGTGATTCCTTAAGAAGAAGCGCTCCAGAAAAGGCGACAAACACAAGCGCTGCAGATGTTAAGCCATCAGGTAATTGAAACCAGCATCAGTTTTATAAGTATGTCCATATTATCTTGGATGTACATTGTATTGATGTTTGTCTTTGGGCTTTTCAGGTGAGTTGCAGTATTCCCCTGCAGTTCTACAGCAGCGTCTCGCCGCGGAGCTTCACTACTTGGAGTCGATAGAAGAGTCTGTGCGACAGCTGGGAGATATCGAGCGCTTGATGGGAGTCTCCAAGGCTCAACATGAAAGTGAAACCTTATCTCATATGCTTAAGGTGAATGTTATTTTGGGATTGAAATGTTTATTTTGTTTGTTATATTAATATTGAACTACTCAAACATTTTGATATTTAATTTTCCTATCCTATTACATTGGACTTTTTCCTCTAGGCCAAGCAACAACAACATGAGCAAGAATTGTATGAACTGAAGATCAAGGCAGAGAGAGAGGCTCTTGAGACAAAGCTGCAAATGGAGCAAAATCGGCAAAGAGTTGCCCGGGTATGTTACAATCAGCAAATGCATTCACACAGAGTGTATGTTATCTGCTTAAACGTTTTGTTCAAGTACATGTTTATTTTTTAGGCCCATATAGATTTACAAGAAGGTTTGGCTACTACTCATAAGGAGACTCTGGAAGGCCTCCAGGAGGCCACAACAAAGATGATGAGTCAACAGGCTGAGGCAGCACGGTACACAGCTGACACTGCCCGGCACATCAAAGAAGTAAGCAATCACTGCCTGTGTGTCTGGAAAACAGCCCATGGTCCCATTATTAGTAGTTGATTGATTGCTGGTTTACGGAAACAAGCTAAATGGTATTTTTGTTTGTCAGATGACGGAAATGGCACATGCTCATTTGATTAATTATACTCCACCTTCTGTCCAACTCACCTCTGAACTACTGAAGAAAAGATCTCATGCAAGGATGAGAGACAATACTAATCTTAGGTAATTTTAACATCACGCTATGTCTTCCTTTTCTGTAAGAAAAGTTTTTTTTATTTTTTCACGACTTTTTTCTTGTACAGTTATGAGTCCAGCAGAACGGGAGAAGATCACCTTGATCATTCAGAGTCTGAATCCTACAGAAGTCCTGGAAGAAGGTATGAACTGTCATGTTGCAATATTTCCTTGTAGAAAACTGGCAGAAAATGTTTAATAACTTGTTTAATTTTGTTTGTGAACCTGACTTAAACTATCAACACAGTTTATCTTCTGAGCACAAGGACACAAGTCATGAGCCACTTCAAGAGAGGAGCCAAAGAGCAGAGGGCAGCATCTCCATCGAGGATGAAGTAACTACTGCTGCTAATGAATCTCTATGTAACAGCATCCCATCTGTGCAGGAAGAAAGGGGTATTACTGAGTGACATTTGCATGTATGCAGGGATTTTAACATAAGTAAAAACCTTTTATTTTTGTCCTTTATCAGGAGATGCTACATCAGTTGCAACAGACTATTCTCACAAGTTTGAGGAGTCAATAACTGAAGATGAGATTGAGGAGCGCTCTTTCCGCTCCTTGTTGCCGTCTGAGGCCCATCGCAGAGAAAGTTTGGACAGGAAGTTGCAGCATCACAATGAATCGGAAGAAGACGGTATGAGTCACAACTGCACACCAGCTTTGGTGGCTTATTCTATTACGCAGGTAAATATTTATCAATCAAACATCAGTTCCATTTTTATAACTTGAATGTGATATGTGTGTTTTATGGCTATTATTTCTGTTATTGTTTATAGCACCAGCGGGGGTCCTCAGCCTTCTCTGGGGGGCAAGACAGCTTCTCTCATTTCACAATGGAGATGGTCCGTCAGTACATGAGGGATGAAGAGGTCAGGCTGCAGCATCAGAGCGCTTTACTACGTCTCCGTCAAAAAGCCCTCAAAGAAAAAACGCGGACTGAACTGGCTTGGCTCGAACACCAGAAGAAGAAGCTCAGGGACAAAGGGGAAGATGACAAAATGCCTCCTATTAAAAAGAAACAGAGAGGTCTTCTGCTCAAACTCCAACAAGAGCAGGCAAGTGATACAATGTGATTCAATAATTAATGGGAATCTTTCCAAAAGATCACAGCAAATGCAACATTTTCTTTTTAAACAGGCAGTAGAGATGCCAGCCTGTTCACAGTCTGGCCACAGTCTGGACGATTACTAGCTTTTTAATGCTCATGTAGCTGCTTCTTTGGCTCTCCGAATATTTAACACATGAACGTTAGTCTTTTTTTGACCAAGAATTCACTTATTGGGGCTTTAAGTCACTCTGACAGTGCCTCCAGATTTATGTTCACCTGATGTTAAAAGTGATACTTACATACTCATATTTGGGAACATATGTGCTAAATTAAAAAAGTTCTTTATCCAGGCATACTTCTATATATGGCAATACTAAGTGAGTACTGAGTGCGGGATCGAACGGCTGTGTGTACAGAATAGGACATTCCCTGGGTGTGGAATGGGCCATGCATAACATTCACCCTATGATTTTGTTTTCTTTTACTTCACTTTTTGTATAAGGCGCATTATACATTATGAAACGCATATTGAAAATATCAGTGCTGCCACAAAAGTGTAATTTCTCTTGTTTGCTTTCAGTTAACAGTCCCACACAGATGTAACTGAAAAAGATAAACTAATGGCATTTTGCAACATGTTTTTTTGTGTCTTTAGGCTGAGATCAAGCGACTGCAGGAGGCCAACAAAGCTGCCAGAAAGGAGAGGCAAGTTCTTCTGAAACAACAGGAGGAGATTGAGCGAATGAGATCCTCCACGCTCAAACTCAAAGAGCGCCTTCGGTTTGCTGAAACACTCACTGAAGCCCCGTCGGTGAGTTTGAACTCCTGATATTAAACATTGTGCATAGTTGTGACATGCACATGAATGTTACTTCCTGTCTTCAAGGAGACATCTCTGTCTGAAGTAGCATCGTCCAACTTGGAACATACCAATTTGAACGTCCGCAGTCCTTCTCCTTCTGTTTCCATCTCTGGAAGTGAGACAAGCAGCATCATGCAGAAGCTGAAGAAGATGCGCTCTCAAACTGATGAAAAGTAAAAGGCTTTTTATAATTTCTCAATGATTTGAATCGATTGGAAATGCTCTGTATTTTACATTTCCACCAATATCCATCCTGTGGACATATTTGTGAGAGGATGAGAAGATAAGCATGCTCCATGTTTCTATTACACTGCCATGCAGTGTATACAGTATGTGACTGTATATTTGCACCAGACGAGATGCCTTATTGCGTCCGCAAAGTAGGTTATGTCTTCATTGAGGTTTGTTTGTTTTGTTAGTAAGCAATGTAACTCAAAAAGTAATGTGTGGATTTCAGTCAGTCCCATAATTGGACAAGGAACACAAATTTTTAGTTGGGGGTTATCCAGATCACAATCTGGATTCAGGCATTTTCTAAGTGCATTACTTTACAGAAAATAATTCCCTAATGTTTGTGTCAAAGAGGCCACATGCTGAGATAGGTAACCATTATCGTAACCACAAGTTCCCCCTTCACATTCATGCCTGTATATCAACTACTGTGGTTTCAAACTCTGAATACATCACTCATGTCTATATTCTCTCCTCTCCCTGTGTCCATGTTTCTGTCCGTTTATGTCTTTGTCTGACTCTGATGTGTCTTAATTTTAGACACTGCTCTCCTCTTCATTACTTCTTCTCTATGTTCACTGCCCAACACTGGGCTTCCTTAAGTGTTTGTCTCCCCAATCTCCGCCCTAAACTCCAGCTTTATATCTACAATCAGTTGGTCAGGTACTGTGCAACACTAGATATGTAATGCTGCCCCTTTAGCCCCCCTCTTCAGCCCCCCACTCCCCTCCCATGGAACATGCTTGTATTCATCTGCCAACACTGGGCATAGTGAGGGCTGGAATGTGTTTGATAAGGATTAGATTGGTTCTAGGTGTGTAAACATTAAAAGGTTTTTTAATCAAAATTCAGGCAAAAGTTACTGAAATAATTAAATGTAAGATGTTTCTTTTCCAAATTATTGTGAAAAAAGATGAACGTTGATTATTTCAGAAGAATCAATCTATTATACTTGTATCTAGGGCTGAGCCAAAAACTACAATATCAAACTGATATTGATTATGGACTCAATTTGATGAATTTGAATCGACAGATATGATACATAATGTGGTAGTGACACTGAGGGGCTGAAGAGGAGATGTGGCCACTCGTTAAGGAGAAACAACTCTGTCTGGGACGGGCTGCATGTGACTTTACCTCTCTTCACTTGTGTCCCTTGCATTTCACTAATCTACCTCAAATAGCGCCCGTTTTACTCACAGACTGTATTGTTTTACTCCTGCATATACACTTTAATTCAAATAACTATTTGCTCACTAAATTGAGATCAATCAAAATGAAGTGGATCGCCCCAGCCCTACATTTACTCATATATTATACATTATTATAGTAATACAGACCATATACATCCATTATAATATTAAAAACAACTTCCTTCTAATCAGTCCATGTTGTTAGAGGCTTACGCAGATCATCTTGTGATGGAATGTTCTTTCTTCATAATGACCCTTGTAAATCTTCATTGGAAATTTGTATTTGGAAAAAAATAGCAGAATAAGTACAGATGTGTAGAAGGTAATTGGCCGTATTGGCATTTAAGAGATGAACAACTGCCTAGTTCTCCCATTCCTGACCCCATCCGTACAAATTAGGTCAAAGGAAAGGTTTCTATTAGATTAGGGCTGAATAAAGCTGTGCTGTACTGGCACCAGCACAGAGGTGAGGCTAATTGTTCTTTATGCACAGATCCAACTATCAACATCATGTATGTTAATATAATAATCTGCATAACAATTTGAGTTGCACTTTTCTTACCTTCATTTTCATCGTTCTGATGGTTATCACATTCTCATGGTCACCTCAAACCTTTCCTCTGAATGGCATTGGTTTATAATTTCCCATGGGTGCCTGAATTGTGCCTGGATATTGACACAATCAAAGCAAGTAGGCCTTTGCCTGTGTAATGTTTTGGACATATGTGGTGCAGTGTTAAACCAATGGCTCATTAACAGCCTTTGTGTATGTTAAAGTTTTTATTTTGATAACTTTTTCTAATGTAGGTTCCTTACCAAACGTGAGCAGCAGCTGATGCAGAGGCGTCACCATGCAGAGGAACTCCTGCAGTGGAAACAGCGACTGGACAAGGAGGAAGCAGAAGTCCTTAAGATGGAGAAAAAGGCCCTAGCAGCATGGGATGAGCAACCGCCACAAGATAAAGGACTTGATTTGTCAGAGAGTGAAAAGGATTTCAGAATGATGCAAGGGTCGAAAGGTAAAATGGTGGCGTCATATTATTCAATCCAAAAATATTTGTTCAAACACAATTTCACAGAACAAAGTCGACAGATATACGTAAATCATTTTGAAAACTGTGATAATGAAGCAGACTCTTCTAAACCTCAATTCAATTACATTTATTCTTGTATAGCCCTAAATCAGAACAGTAGTTATCTCGGAGAACTTTACAAAACAGTTGACGTCGCAAACGCATAGAGCCATTGGTCCATAAGGGAAAGATGACCAATGTTGATGTTGTTGAATGTGTCCTGGAAAAGGAAAAACTAATAGTTAAAAAAAACCCTGTGGAAAAAAAGTGAGAAACATTGGGAGAGGGATCCGCTCCCACTAATGTGTAACGTATATATAATATAATACATATAATAATATATTATATTTGGTCTTAGATGACCACACACTCAAGCAAGACTCTGGCCCAAACACTCTCTGACCTTTTATTACTCACTCTGCTTATATTCAAAAAAGCAATTTTGATCATTTTCTTTTTTTTTAGACTTCACAGGGGATTTCAATCATTCTTCAGCCACTCCAGAGTCCAGCATCCACACTGATGTGGACGTAAAACAAGGTGAAACAAGTGCAAGTAAAAGCACTTCTGCCTCGGATATGGCCTCCATCCAAAGTAGCCCGGCAAATTACACCGACGACTTTGCCTCAGTGTCCCCTTCACCAAACAGACCAGTATGAATATTTTTTCCTTGTTTCTTTTCAGTGTAACGCTGTGTTCATACCTGTTCTCCCTTCTGTTTCTCATCAGTCTGATCAGAAGTCACCGATCAAAGAAAGTATTGACGTCTCGGTTTCAGAACATGACCAAATGTCTAAACTGGGAGACATAACAGACAACCATGACATGAAACAAACTGGTAATTTCCACACTCAAATGTAATGTGCATATATATGTGCATCCCTCTGTGGTATTACAAGAGTGTGTAATACCACAGAGGGATTGCATTCCAGTGCACAGGTTGGATTATAGTTTGCTAATCAGGTCCTTTGTATTGCTTTAAGTTTGTTCTAAAATTGTTTTCAGAGCACATTTCTGACCAGAGAGACATAGAGACTCGCATAAGGACCCTAAAGGAAGAACTTAAAAAACGAAAATTAACTGCCTATCAGCTGAAAAAAGAACAAAAGAAGAGGACAAAACAGCGACTTAAAGCACAAGAGGCAAACCTGCTGAAGCAACTAGAGGTGAATCTTTGTTTTTACTTATGTAAACTGTACCTCTAATGTTTTTGAGTGATTGCCACCCCACTTTGTTTGTGTCCCTTTTAGACTTATAATGACTTTATTGAGAAAACCAAAGCAGAGCTAGAGCAACAGCCAGATTCAACCCCAGATGCCACGTCCCAAATCACAGATGGGGTCTTACGTAGTGCAGAGCATCCTAGTGAAACGATGACTCGTGAAAGGTGACACTGCCAGCATAATATATTTCTTTCCTTTTTGTTTCAACAAACTCATCTTAATTATTGTTTTCCAGATCTCACTTAACGCATGTTTCTGAATCTGATGGACTTCCCTCCTTTGTGGATAAAGGTGTGTAGGTTTTGTTGGAAAAGCATGCAACCTAACTTTTTTTATAACATTAACATTATTCCACATGTTTCAGCACATCCTGGTCAAAATAGATCTGTCTCTATGGCGTCAACCATTTCTGGTGAAGAACCACCAACATTGACGCCAACTCCAAGACGGGACAGCCCCGACCTTTGCCTTTTCTCAAAGCAGAGCCAAGCACACTCGCAAGAAAATTCTAATCAGAACGTCACCTCTGAACATGAAGTTGAAAAGCAAGAAAAAATGGAAACCAAAATGGACACTGCATCTGAATCTATTAGTCCTCATCCTCCTTTCAGCAAAGTGTTTGAACAACATGTTGACTCCAGGTCTGAAGAAGTTTCTGCTAAATCCCCACGTTCCCCTTTAAGTTCCATTGCAGCAGATGTTGTATCTAGTGTACACTCTCCTGAGGGAACTAACAAAGAGAACAGAAAGGTTCTGCCCCCTTTAGCTGACAACAATGAGAAATCGTTAAGTAATTCAGATCAAAGCTCTCTAAAGAAGAATGCACCTGGTTGGACCACACATAGTCGTGAGGAAGAGATTGACGAAATAGCCGAGGAACTCAGTGGGCCTTCTGTTGTTGATAGTCACCAGTCTTTAGGTGATGCTCGTGATAAAGGTGAAATACAGGCCGATGGCAGAACGTCAGTGACTTCAAACCACTCTGTAAGTCCTCTAATCATTGATGAAATGGCAGGCTTTTGCATCGGGGACCGCGTTGTTGTCAGTGGAGTTCAGCCTGGCACTTTGAGATTCAAAGGCTCCACCAGCTTTGCAAATGGATTTTGGGCTGGGGTGGAGCTGGACAAGTCTGAAGGAAGCAACAACGGCACATACGATGGGGTGTTATACTTTGAGTGTTCTGAGAGACATGGAATTTTCGCTCCCCCTGACAAAGTCACGCATCTCACGGATAAGTTTGATATGTACACGGACACCACCGAAGATGATGACTCCTTTCACGATGAAATGCCGAAGGAGGAAAATCTAAAACTTACATCAAAAGAAACCAGACCTCAAACCGATCCTTTTGGAAACTGCCTAATGAGTTTGGAGAAATTGGAATCAGGAGATCTAAAGAGTTCTGATGATATTGAGCAGTTGGATAAAGCGGTTGACAACTATCAGCATCTTGATCATACAATAGTCAATGGAAATACCATTTGGGTCTCTGGAGATGCTTCTCTCACTCCCCTCACTCCCTTCATAGACAATGACAAAGTTCATATCAGCAAACAATCTAAAATGGAGATAACCAACCTCATTGAGAAACCTGATGTTGAGCTCGACCATCGGGTTTTGTTTTCTTCCGACTTGAAGAAGGATGAGAGGCGAAAGGATAGACTGGGCTCATTAGCAGATGAAATGTTAAACGACATTGTAAAAAATGCAGTACAACATTTTGCAGAACTAAAGAAATCAAAGGTGAAAAAGATACATGATGCAAATCAAATGAGTAGAAACAAAGTTGAAGAAGTTGAAGAAACTTTGGCTCCGTCAGTGGACCAGAAAGATGGGCTTCCTTTTTTTCTTACTCAAGAAAAAGAGGAAATGTCTTCTCCAGAACTCTGCAATCGCCCAGTAAGTTTTATATCCTGCAAGCCTTTAGTTGTCATAATTTTGATGTCTGGATCACAGCTTGTAAACAAAGATTTATCAAATTCAACTTAAACTGTGATACTGACATGACAATATGAAATCCAGTTTATATATGCATATATAAATTATACTTATATTTGTTTTTTCTAATTTCCTGAGTTTCACCAGTTTGTGTGTTTATATATATTAATTTTGAATATTATGTTATTGTTTAAATATGCGTTAAGTTTTTTAAACAATAATGAGAATTAAAACTGAATCTTATGCAGTGTTTTTTTTGGAACCTGTTAAATGGTTTTGTTTTGTTCTTCCAGGAAAGTCCAGTGCTGGGGGCTAGTGGTCAAGAGGAACTAGCCAAGCGTTTAGCTGAACTGGAGCTAAGTCGAGAGATGGAGGAGTTTGGGGACGATCAGGACTGGTTTGACGAGGACTACGGTCTCAGCTCCCGTCGACAACAGCAGCGACTTAAAGAAAAACAACTGGAAGAAGACCAGGCCAAGTTTGGAGGTCACTTTGGGAAGACCACATCCGGAGTGGGCACAGTGATGGGAGGACCAGGGGACCAGCAGGTGAAGACGCCCCCTCGACCTGAGCTCCCTCACCCCATTGCCCCTAAACTGCCCGAGGAGCCAGCTATGGTGGTGCCCCACTCAGCTGCAGAGATAGAAAAGATCGCTCACGCCGCAGTTTTGGAAATCTGGAAGACTTGTGGATTGGACAGTGAGGGATTGGCAATACTCACAAACCAGCAGAATCCAAACCCCTCCCAGGAGTATTATGGTGAAGATTCCCACAGCGATGACCTGGAGGCCGCCTGTCTGCATAGCTATAAAAAGGTAATAATTATCTTTATTGTGAATGGGACAGTGACTGACTAAAATGCTTTCCGTTGCACAGGCGGTGTATGATCTGACTTGGGAGACCCTTCAGGATGTTTTTGCTGAAGATCCCAATGCCGATCAGCCACAGTGGGTGAAGCCGCAAAGAGTCAAGTCCTCATCTTTTCATGAAATTAGGACAGCGAGAGACATCAGCAGAATCCAGGTAAATTAACATTAAACATTTATCACACAGATTCACGAAAGGAAAGACATGTATCGCACAACTTTACAAGTCATTTTATTCTATAGACCAGAAGTTAACAATTGCTTGAGTGCCAAGGCCCCCTGATGGAGCCACCCAATATCACATAAAAGAAACCTATTCTGGTTTTCCTTTTTAAAATGACAATTAAACACATAAACATACCATCCATCCATCCATCCATTTTCTTCCCCTTAATCATTTCTGGGTCAGAGGGGTGGCAGTCAGAGCTGCACCCAGCACACCTAGCACCAGCCTCACATACTGTAAGCATGCATTTGTTTTAAATTTCTGTAATTATGTTCAAATACTTAGATTACGTGAAACAAATCTGTGTATTACGTAATCTAATTTCTAGTTGCTGGTCGTGTTGACAACCTTCAGGGGCCCTCCTGCAGACCCAGACCCCACTTTGGGAAGCATTGCTATAGACTGAGTTTTTGGTTACTGCTGGTGTCAAATGTGCACAAAACATATATATACTTTTTGTTTCGGTACCCCAGATTAAAACTGAAGATTATTTATTTTCATAAACAGTACATGATGTTGAACTGTAAAATATTACATGAATCTTCTCAGACATCAATATAATTATGTTTTGAATATTTGTAAGAATAAAGAACTGAGGGTGGTCCTCTCTTTTTCACTTTTCAGTCTGAAAAAGCTGAACTTGTTCGATGGATTTTATTGCATACAAATATGTACAGCAGCATTAACATTGTAGTTTTTTGTTGCTTATTTCATTTTTATATTCCTCAGAGATTTGTGTCTGATGAAATACTAAAGCTCTATGGTCTTGCAACGGATCAATGTCAAAGAACCGACTGGCCAAAAATGCTCAAATTTGGCCGGAAGAAGAGAGACCGTGTTGACAACATTCTGGTGAGAACAACACGACATTGTGTTGTGTTCAATGTGGAAAGTGTTTTACACGATGGTTTCTTACAGGTGCAAGAGCTCCATGAAGAAGAGTCCCAGTGGGTCAACTACGACGAGGACGAGCTGTTTGTCAAAATGCAGCTCGCCGACAGCATCTTTGACGCGTTGCTTAAGGACACCGCGGACGCACTCAATCTGATCTACGAAAAAAGAGCCAAAAGAGACGCTTCCTGAGAACAGTCACTGAACAAACACAAGGTCTAACGAACATGAGGCTGTTCTCACGACTGCGGAAAAGTAAAGTTGACTTTTTGTGCCATCGTCCGCCCACAGATGCCTTTAGATTACCTCTTTATGTCGTGTTTATGATATCTCTGCTGGATAACCCTCGTAGTATGTGAGCCTTCTTAAACACAAACGCCTCAAACCATCCAGCCTTTACCAGACCTTTGCATCAATACGTTGTAGACCTGTTAAAAAAGGCTATTTTTAAGCATCTTTTTCACATAGACTGTCAGTGTAAATCTTAACTCCAATGTAAATTTCAAATGTAATTTATATAATCATCCTGCGCTGATGTAGCTCCTGAATTTAGTACACTTAATATACAGCGATCTGGCTTCCCACAAATATTTCTAATTTTTCCTACATCTTTTTTTCTATTATTTATATCGTTTGTTTCGGTAATCTTCTATCACTTATATGGGGTATGACAAACTGGTTAGTTCTAATCTGAGCAGGAGCACAGCAGACTCCACCCATTTCCTCAGGTGAGTCCAGTTTCCTTTAGATTTGAGGAAGATTGGAACTAACCTGTTTGACTCCCCTGCCATACATGGTTTCAAGCCTCACTGAATTTATAGATACAGTAACATAAAAGAAAAAGCTTTACTCTGGTGGACATATTGTTTATTACACTGGTTGTCTTTGTCAATCTATAACAAGGAGAGAAACTAAGAAAAGCAGAAGTCTGTCCTGAGCTTTTACATAACGGTGATGTGTCCATTTTAGAATGATGAGAGCAAATTATTGTCTCTGGGATAATGTTTTTCCAGATGTATAGATTGTAATATTTGATCTTGATCTGAATGTCCAAGTGCAGAGCAACTGCAAAAGCACACATTTTGAATGTGCACTAATATAATGGTAATCAACGGGTTTAAAGAATACGGTTATTGAAAAATAGAGAACATATTTATTTATCTTCCATTGCTGCAAAGTTATGTCATAAGAGTTCATATTACAGCTTTATTTGGATATTATGTATCCTAATCATCCTTCATGGACCTAAAATGTGTAAGTAAACGGGAGCACAATGTTTTCTTATGAATGGACAAAGTCACAGTAGATACTAGAAGTAAAGTCATATTTAGGATGGTTTCCTCCATCTCAAGTTTCTCATGTACTCCTTTCCATTCACTTTTCCTATAACTCCTGTTTTGCCCATTGCCTTAACATTTTGTGTGAGCAATACATTTTCCTGTGCCTCAACCTATAGATATTATAGCTCTTACTACTTTCTCTTTCTGTGTAGTAAAAAAGATGTTATTTAATTGGTCGCTGTTATCAGGAGGAACCATGAGGACATTAGCTCCGGAGTCTGAAGAGGGGAAAAAACCTGCAGAAGAGAATTTTTTTTTCCCTTTTCAGCATTTCCTGCTAATCTTTGCGCAGTGGTTTTGTCATAGCTGCATGTTATTCCTTAGTAGCCTAATAGTTTAAGAGCGCCTCAAAGTGACCTTAAACTGTGTCCTGAAAATGTAAATTATTAAAATAATGACTGTAATACCAAAAAACTTGAAGGAAGATTCCCCAGTGGCTTGGCTTGTCTTTAGAGGATGTACATATTGTAATGCAGAGGATTTGGGGTCTCCTTGTGTAACTATGCAGTTGTCTTTTTGTCCATTCTTCTATATGTAAAAGACCAATTAACACACTTGACTGTAGATTTGATAATCTCTGAAAGATTTGTCTTTTACACGTTTTGATGTCAATGCTTTTCTGTTTTTAACAAATCACAGAAATCTAATGTAAATAATTCTGTTGTCAAAAGTAATGTCATAATGTTTTACATTTTTTGACATTGATAATTTATACTGACGTGCTCTGTTGTTAAAAGGTGCACTTGTAGACTAATAATATTTTAAGACTGTACATATATTGTAATATCCATTATGACCCAGTGATATTGGATCCTGAATAAATGAGCTTTGTGTCATTTTCAAATATGTACAAAGTAGGCCTATATATATTTGTTTGCTTAATGAACCTTGGAATTGTAAATAAAGTGTTTCTTACTTACTACGTTCATTTTTGTCTAGTTTCCCAAACAGTGGAACAAGAACCGTATGAGGACTTACTCAATAATTCCAGGTTGATAAACGTGACATTACATAGTCTGAATATTATTATGTGTCTTTTCTTGTATAGACTTTTGGAGCCTCGACAAAATGGATAGATAGAAAATATAAATTATAGATGCGGTACAGGACCTTCTTACCCCGCGCGTCTACAGGGGGAGGACCTTTCCACAGCCGTGCCTCTGTAGCGCTGCCGTCCGGGGACCAGCGATCAGCAGCACGAAGAGAGGGGGAGGAGGGAAAAGTTGAGTGAAGTTTTGGTGGAAAGTTGCCCGGTTCAGAGCGAGGTGACAGCAGCCATACCGTCCTTGGACCTGGGGGGGGGAAGATGGCGCACTGCCGCTGCGTCCGTGCCACGTCTTGGTGCATCGCGTGTGCACTTTTGAAGCTGTTTTTGTGCATAGGTTCAAGTATTTTTCTCTTCCCCGTCGGAGTTGAGGCTGGGGGGCTGTACACCGCTACGGACCAGATCATATTACTGACTCCAGCCACCGTGGACGCCGTGCTGGTCAACTCCACCGCCGCGGTCGTGGTGGAGTTCTACGCGTCGTGGTGCGGACACTGCATCGCGTTCTCACCCACGTATAAAAACCTGGCCCGAGATGTGAGAGGTAGGTTTAGACTCGTCGAATTCATGATGTTTAGTTTTTCCCTTGATCAGACTTGTTGCAAGATGTTTTTTTTTTTTACTTTTATCCGCGCGTGCATTCAGTTCTATACTTCCATCCATGTCACACCTTTATTGGTTTATCATTAGAATTTTTGACATATCTGCAAACAGCTATTCTGACAGATAATGGAGTGATAGATCCTTGTATAAATGCCCTGGCGCAGCTCTCTGCTTCACACACTGTTGTCACTGATCTCATCATATCCCAACTCTATCAAATTCCTTCCTGTGGACATCACTTCTACAGCTCAGCACATATTTGCAATGACAGTGCCTTGTTAATTGCAAAAAAGTTATTTAAAAAATATATATCTGTTATAGGCCAAGGACAATTATGTGTTGATATTATATCTAAGACTGATTGTGTTTGTGATTATGCTCAATGCCATAGATAGAAGGAGGATACTATAAAAAAAGAAAGAAAAAATCTATAAACACAAAGTGATAGAAAGCCATTTATGATATTGATGAGGTTTCTTTGCAATTGTATTTAATTCTTAGGGGATCGACCTTCAGGGCCGATACTGAAACACTTACATTATATTTAAATGTCTGAAGCAACTGTTTACTTCCTAAAAACAAATAAAAAACTATAATAGCTCCCATAGACTCGATGTGAAGCAGAGTTGGATAGATCTCTCAGGTACAGATGCTGACTTTCATCTGATGTGATATCATCAAGACGATGTTTGCTGTCATTTAGGTTCTTTTTGACCAAAATAAACCAAATGGAACTAATCAGATGCAGATGTAAGCATGCAAATAGGCACAGCTGTTGTGTTGCACAGTAGACTGTTTGTGTTTAGTCTAGTTGTATCATTGTTGTAGACTGGACAAGACTAATAATTAGTAGTAATAAAAAAAACATTGGTGCTGATAATAATCGGTCTACTCCTAATTGTATGTGTAGATTATATTTATTGACTTTGTTTCCCATGATTATGCTGCTCTATAGTGCAAGCATGTCAGTGGCATAAAGTTGTTTCAGTATTATTTTTATCACAAATTATAGCTGTAGAAATATATCCCTGTAGTTTAGTCTCCTCAGGCCCCAATGCCACACTGGTTATTCACTCGTGAGAATTCAACAGGTGCCTAGTCTCGTTACAATAACTGTTACAATATCTGACCCTTAATGTAAATAATGCACAAAATCTGTCCTTAAAAGAGAGAGAAAACAAATCTTATGTGTGGATTTTGTAAGAAAGATTTAATAAAGCATAATGTACAGAGTCTGTTTTTTAAATATGACTCAAGCTGGAGTAAAAGTAAAACTAATGGGTAGAAACAGTTTCTCTTATCCTCCTCCACAGTTGGACTTTCTTATTGACGGACTAAAGTGCATAGTTGTTTATATAGTGCACAAGCCTCAGGGACGCTTACAGAATGAGGTGTTGTAAAATCAAATATTGACTGTGTCTTTGTATCCAGAGTGGAAGCCGGCAGTGGACCTGGCAGCCATCGACTGTGCCGACGAGAACAACCGGAAAGTGTGCACGAACTACAGTGTGCGAGGCTACCCCACCCTCAAGGTACCTTCATAGAGTCATAGCCAACAGATGGACAATGCTAAGGCATGTCAAGGTGACAGAGTGGTTAGCACTCTCGCTTCTCAGCAAGAAGGTCCTGGGATTGAATCCAGGTCGGTACAGAGCCTCTTTGTAGGAAGAGATCTACATGCAAACTTCATACAGTTTGCAGTTTGCATGTAGATCTCTTCCGACAAAGATTTTTTAAATGGTAAAATCTTTCAGCTGCGGTTGTTCTCACCATGCTGAGCATCAACACTGCTGCTGACGGGGCCCTAATTGCATTACAAGATGGGTTAAATGCAGAGGACAAAGTAGGTATACCTTACCTCACAGTATCTAACTGTCCTCCTCTGCTCTGGCTCTTATTGACTTCATGATATAAACTCCTTGCTCAGTTTGTCAGGGTCTGTTTGTAAAGGATCATCTCCATTTCAGGAAAGGTTAAGTACATAATATGTGTGTAAACTGACAGCTGAAACCCAAATATAGACCACCTTTGTTAAAGCCTTATGTTCTATAAATAAATTAGCGTTCAATACTGAATTTTAGACAAAAAACATTCCAGAGGTTCTCAGCTTTACAACAAGGTACACCAAGTATATGTTGGTGAAGCTGAAAATGGCTGAATGACACTCTGAGCTTGTGTCTATGATGTGCTTGGCTACTCTGGGTTAGGTATGGCCACATAAAAGGCCACAGAGGAACCTTAGTTTAGACATGCCTGATTTAGGCTAATATTACAATATATCTGAATATACAGATATTTGTACAAGAACTTCTATGGCAGCTCTTTATCCACCCGTCTGTCTGTTCATGTGGTGCTCCGTCAGCAGATCCTGGTCTTGTCTCCTCTGTGTCTCTCATCAGCACAGGCCGCTCAAACAACAAGCCCCTCTGTGTCAATACAATGCCCCTTTAACATCTGTGACTCATTTTAGGTCAAGAAAAGCAGAGAGGAAGAGGTTTTTTTCAAAAGCCAACATTGCACAATATAGTCTTTTTTGGCTGAGTGAGGACAGTGAGATCCGATCTGCTTTTCTTTCTCTAAACTTTTTTCTCCTTGACAGTTTTTCAATGCTTATTCAAAGGCAGAGTCTAAAGGGCAGGCGTTTCGAGGTAAAAGCACACTACATCTTTCCTCTAATGCATCCCTGACCACATTTAGATAATGCCGTGCTGATTCTCTTAAAGCTTCTTCCCGTGATGTTCGAGGAATTCGTCAGGCGATAATAGAGAAACTAGAGAAGCACCAGGAGCCTTGGCCGCCTGCCTGCCCCCCGCTGGAGCCCACCAGGTAATCATGCACAAATTAATTAACTGTTCCCTGGAAGCCATAGAGCAGACAAAATTCCTCTTTTTGAAGAGAAATATCCAAGGTATAAATTCTAACCAAGCAGTTAAGACAGAACTCACTTGAGGAAATGGGGTGGAGTCCGTTTGGCTCTTGCTCAGTTGGAATTAAAACGTGCAGCCACATTGGCTCTTTGAGGACTAAGTTGAGACCCCTGCCTTAAACTAAATGTCCACAGTAGAGATGGGTGTCTTTCACAGCCTCCTGATACTGATCTTGACACAGGGGTCTTTCAAATTATTAAAATACAATATTTATTAATAATAACATTCTACCACAATTGAACTAAAATACTAAATACTAAAATCCATTTAAATATCATCTATTGACGAGGAATTATTATTAAAGTAAAAATATAAAAAATATATTTTCAAAGAAAGATGTATATTTAAAGAAAAAGTAAAAACATGGGTTCACATCTGATGAAAAATATATAAAAAATAGATATTACTAAATAAAATAAATGACTGATTTATATATAATTATTCTTTTTAGCACACCCACTGTCTGTAATTCTCTTTTTGTTTAAAAAAAATATCAAGTCTCAAATCACTCACTCACCCTCCATAGGAGGAGTCTTCATTGAGCGGTGCAAATGTGTTCCAGCCGAACACAATACTGTCAGAAGTAAAAGGAAAATGCAAAACGTAAATTAGTTTTCTTAAATATAGGCTTGAACACGACAATCACAAAAATACCACACACACATTATGATAAAATAAAGAGGAAATTCACTAGACACTTACTGTAATTGAATGTTCCTCATTTACACACACACACACACACACACACACACACACATACACGTTTTTGTTACCTGGTGGGTCCCTTTGACAGGGCCGTTCAGAATGGGACCCATAGACATAATCTTTTTTTACTGGGACTACTTTAAGTAATACAAAACAGTCAATAGAAACCAAACAACTATTTTAAAGGAATTTTATTTTAGATTTTTTTTTCGAATTGCAGTGATTCTATTTTTGACATAGAATTTAATGCCACTCCATGTCCGATGTCTAAGGTCATCTGGTGAGGCATTAATGCAGGCCATGCCAGGCCAGGCCAGGCAGTGAGACTTCCCAGGGACCTTTCCAGTCTGTATGAAAGGTGTCATGGTCTTCTCCACAGCCTTCACCTCAGATGCAGACCATGGCTTTCTCTAACGTTCTAGGGAGAGAAATAAAAATATATTAGCAATATACACTCCCAGGGTTAGGACCAAGCAGCCTGGCTGTAATCCCCCACCTGGTACACTTACCAGAAGGGGCACTGCCACTACCATGGGGTGCATCTGGATGAATGGTTGAAGGTTCTCCGCTTGAAGTTTCTTTTAGCCCGTCCGTTTGAGAGAGGATCTCTACTGCTCTCCCTGTCGCACAGAAAATAAAAATACAAGTGGCCTTTAGGGGAAAAAAATTATACATATTTTAATAATATCAAGAATTACCTTCAGGCTCAATTTGTATCTGGTCGAGGCTCTTTCCTTCGAATTCCGTCACTCTTCCCTGCTCCATGGCCATCAACACTTTGCTGATTTTGGCCAGCTCCAGTGTCCCCTCTGGTAGTCTGTAATATTGCCTGTGGATGCGAATGTCATGGCCGAGGAAGTTGGCAAGTATGTCCATCTCATTCTCTTTCATATTGAGAACTGTAGACATAGTAGCTATGTGCTTTCTAAGTTTGGTTGAGGATAGCATCTCTGGATGCACCGCACCACATTCTTTGGCTACCTGGCGTAGGGAGTCTGATCCCCTGATGTGGGTGTCTGCGCCCGGGCGGGAAAAGAAGTATGGGTTATGGTCAGAGATGGAACAGGCCCTTCTGTTCTCCACCAGCACCTCAATCGAAGCAATCATTTCAGGAGTCAAAAGAACCACCACTTTCCGACTTCTTTTCCCTTTAATTTCAATGCGTTGAAAATGCTGACACAGCTTTTTCTCAAGTTGGGACAGTCCCAGAGCAATGTCAGAATGGATCCCAGTCTTACTTCTTAAGGTAAAGGCTGTCAGTGGCATCTTTGAAACCTCACCTTCCCTTCTTCGATTGAAAATGATGACCTCACAAAGAGTCAAAACTGCCAGTTTAGACCAATGCTTAGACGTTTGCTCACTTATTAGGGTTTGCACATATTCAGGTCGACATACCTCAATATGTGCATGCATGGCTCTAACGTCCTCAGTCAGAGGGAGCAGGTCCGGAGTGTTCCACTTGGCTTGCCGGAGGGTCTGTAGGGCAGCAGAAGAAACACAGACGTCCCACCTCTTCTCAAAAAGCAGCCGGCTTCGTTGGAGGTTTTTAATAAATAGTTCATCAACACAATGCTCCATTTTTGAGTCACATTCAAGAATATCTGCTAGCTTTCTGAGGCTATGGCCGAGTTTGAGGGCCAAGGATGGAGTCTTGTATTGATTTGTTTCCTCATCATATCCAGCCACAGACCTGACTGCATCAATCACATGGTTAAAGTTGGAAGGAATAAAGAAATCCTTCATTGTTTTCAGTTTCCCTGCAGTTTTTGCTTCGTTAATTAACCTACCGACTTCTCTCATTTTCTGCCTAATGTAATCATGCTTAGTCTTATCATGCCCGTGTTTTAAGTACAGGTGCTCTCCGAGTCTCAGAATCCCCTTTTCTGCTTTGACAACACCCGTGACCTCATCCTGATGCATTGCCCAAATTAAAGACCACAGCTTTTTGCTGATGCCCTCCGGTACAGGCTGGGCTAGGGAGCAGAGGGACTGGACCCTACTTCTACCTGGTTTAGCCTGGTTTAGCCTGGGCATCTTTCTGTGAAAGCCGGCACCTGGCCACATGCCTCCACAGCGACTTTCGCTTAAGCAATGCCCCACAGTCTATACAGTGCAAAAACTCACTGGATTTAACTGGGCAATTTGGCTGTTTAGCTGGGACTAAAGTTCCAATGCCGGCCTTTAAAACCTCAAAATTGTGCTCACGGTTTCCACTATTCCTGATCAAATCAAACTGAAGTTTACGTGCTTTAGATTTCACAGGTAGAGCCAATGCTCTGGCTACGTCACTTTCATTTCCATGTTTTCTAGTCAAATGACGGGACATTTTGTGGCAGGACATTGAACAGTAGAGGCAGAAGTGTCTCTTGCTGTAAACTCGCCCCCCATTTTTCTTCTTTTGCAGCTGCATGATAACAATCTTATTTGCCTTTGGTTCGTCACTTTCCGAGTCTTGAAGAAAAGTGTTTTTGATTTTTCTTTTTCCATACTTTTTTACAGGTTTCTTCTTGACAGTTAAATCGTCAGAATCTGAGTCGACTTCATCAATTAGGGACTCTTGACTAAGCTGCACAAACAACAAATAATTTGTAATAATTCTATATAACAATTTGAAGTCATGACTTGTAGTCAGCACTTACCAGTGGGTTGTAAGCGTGCGCTTCAGTGTGCTGCTCTGTGATTGGCTGCAGCCTAATGAACCACACACTTGCACCTTTTTCTAGCCTGACACCTGATTTCCTCTGTTGTGCTGCTCCATGATTGGCTCCAGCCTCTGTTGTGCTGCTCCATGATTGGCTCCAGCCTCTGTTGTGCTGCTCCATGATTGGCTCCAGCCTCTGTTGTGCTGCTCCATGATTGGCTCCAGCCTCTGTTGTGCTGCTCCATGATTGGCTCCAGCCTGCTGGACTGAAATTGCCCCAGTGTGCCCCTCCTTGATATCCCGCAACCCACCACCAGGGTTCCGACACATAACACACTTTTTTCAGGAAAGTAAACCTCCAGGGGTCCTTTCCATATTTTTACAGAGACTGCATAAGGACCGTTAGAAAAGCATTACCCATTGATTATTAAGCTTGGACCAGTGGGGTCCGGTGTTCGGGCCCCACCACGTAAAACCAGTCCCCATGACGTGAGCGGAATCTCAGGTTATGGACCCCACCAGGAGTTGAAAACAAGTGCACACACACACACACACACACACACACATTCTTTTATAACTTGACGTATTATTGTGTTAAAAAGTGTTTCTGTGATGGTGAATTTTTAAATGTACGGGTTAGTGGCCTTCTGTGGCAGCTACACACAATCACAAACTGGCTTTTGCAACATTCTATTTAAATGAACGTCGCCTCAGAGCTCATTGTTGTACGTCATCGGATGATGTGTAAAAACTCAAACCTGATATTTGTAATGCTGTTGAAGGGTCGCAGATTTGACCCATTACTTCAGCTTTGGGGTTATCTGGGGTTTTGCTTTATGTCCAAGAATTTCAGTTGTCAGAATATCATATTGTATTGAAAATAAATGGAAAACTTAAAGCCCTAAAGTTCATGCATGTGAAAACGAGTGAGAACCGTTTTGAAAGTGAGGAACCCGTGAGATGGAGTGTATTACAGATCATTTGCAGTGGTTTGAAAGTTAGGTATACCAGCTTTAATAAGATGTCTATGCTGCTTTTGACTTCAGTACCTGTGCTTTGCTTGTATTTCTCCACAGCAAAGCAGAGATCGACAGTTTCTTCGAGACCAACAGCGTCCCGCAGCTGGCCCTGATCTTTGAGGACGCCAAGTCGTACATTGGTAGAGAGGTATGTTCTCATCTCAGTTATGTGTTTATTTTACATTATCTATTATCTGTGATGGTCTGTGTTACTTAGGTCACGCTGGACCTGCTGCAGTTTGACAACATAGCAGTGAGGAGAGTTTTGGACACGGAGGAAGCTCTCGTGTCTCAACTGGGAGTGACCGACTTTCCGTCCTGCTACCTCTACTATCCCGGGGGCAATTTCACACGCCTCAAAGTGTAAGCATGAGAAAACCATTGATGTTATTGCACACTTGACAATTTAAATGAGATTTATTATGCAAATTGTTTTTTTATTTGAGCTTTTAACAATCATACGACATCGCTCCCTTCTCTAAAAAACAGATCTGCCCATGGTTTTAGATCCATCCACGCCGATGGAACTTCTGGCACAAATATGTAACTCCGCCCCTCCTGGCTCAAACCTGCAATAGAGAATATACAGGTTTGAGCCAGGAGTCATTTTACCACTATGGCATCACTGACAAAACAAAAGTATTGCCCCTAACACATTTTTTTTAGTAACATAAGGATACTGTAGACCGATTGTATTATTTATCCTTTTGATACTTGTTTCACCATATTTTCTACTGCAGATATTATTTCACATTCTAAAACATGAAATGGCAAGTAGATAGTCTCGATATCATTATTTAGAGGTATACATGATGAAATAATATTCTACTCGCAAAACATGATACTGAAAGCTCCCTATATTTTGAGCATAATCCGTTTAGCCGTGGAAGCAGCTAATGTTGTGGCTGCATCAGTTTGTTGTGAGTCCCGGGCCACATTCCCACACGAAACAATGCAGTTATTGTCTAAATCTGCAACAAATGGAGTTGGCTCATAGTTGACATATATCTTATCAATAACATCAGAATCATATATATCACGGATGATGACCGATTCTTTTGCGTTTTCCCACTTTACATTTGAAATCATTGTTTTGTGTTGATTTGAAAGCGCACAAACACCACCTCTCTCCTTTCTTATTGTTCCATGTGCGGCCACTTTAATTTGTGCGGATAGGCTTCATCTCATTATCTGAACCGTATTCATAGAAATACTTTTAAACATCTGGCCCTTTAATGGGATCAGAGCATCAAATTCTCTTCCATTATTCACATCATAAAGCGCGCCGATCGTCCCTCGCCCTGCAAATTCATGCGTTCTTTGTGCGCTGGTTCCAATAACTTGGCATGCAAAGAGGACTCTTTTTAGTTGACAAATGCAAAAAGGAAATGATTTATTGCTGATTTATTTATTCACCCTCCGTCGCTCCCCCCTCCATCGGCTCCCTCATCTCCATCACTGTACAGAGGGGAGGATTTTTAATTTCTTGCATGAAAACAATGCCATTGCTTTTCTGGCTTCACCTGCCAAACAAGGCCCCAGCCGCACGCCGCGACAGATGGCCTCCCGTCATCGCTGAATGTCTGAGTGATCCTGGGAGATGTGCGCGTGAGGGCGGAGGGTGCGGAGTGCGGCCGCGACTCACATTCGTCATGCGTGTAATGTGCATGGGCCCCAGGTGAATGGTCCCCCGTGAGGCAGGGGCCCTGGATGGATGGTGCGCCCTCCACATCTGCGCACTCGGCCTTAATGGAGTCGCTGTCTGCGCGTGAGGGAGAGTGACGGTCGTGTCTGTTTTACATCCGGCTTCAGCGGCATGATGCTCCTAACGCCGCAGAGAGCAGGGAGATGAAGGGCCGCCTGCTTTTAATGTTTTTATTCACTTGAGTGACATAGTGGGAGCGGAGCATAGACTTTCAGAATCGATTTCACACTTGTTGTGGGTGACGCCCTGTTTCTGTTTCTGTTTCTCATTCCGAGTGAGAATTTGCTTTAATTGGCTTTTTTTTTGTGGCGATCGCCTTTTTGTACATTTTGCTTTGGGAGATTGTGAGAGTTGTTCTATCATAGGGACACCTGTTAACACCCTTTATAAAATTGTACGTGACATCAATCTATAGATTTGTTTCTTAAAGTTATGACAACAAAACCTTTTATTCATCCCACAGCCAGTGTTGCGACGCACAGTAGTAAGAACAATGTAACAGAACTCAATTAAGATGATCCATTGTGAAAGAAAACGTTTTGATAATATACTTGAATCTGCTTTTTTTTTTAAGTATTTTGACAGTAAATAGTATAATGTATTTGAAAAGTATGTCTTTTGATGAATAAATATTCATATTCTTCTCATATTCAGATTATCATTCTCACCAAATACTTGTTATATGTGTGTCCATTGACACATTATGTTAAAGTGACTCAAACCCTGCTTTCTCCAAAATACACTCTTAAGTCCACTTCTGTATGTAGTTGTTCCGACAGAATGTGTAACAGTAGAACACTGTGAACAAATCAGACCTCAGCTTGCTGTCCAACCTAACAATAAGAGAAGGCTCATAGATTGTGAGAGTGAGGAATTTGTTTAGTTTGAGACTTAAATCTCCCTTTTCACAAATTATTGCCAAACATTATCACTCCACGTTCTCATTTCTGATGTAATATTTTTTAAATAAATTTTTTATTATTAATAATACATTTTAAGAAGTGCAATAAGATGTCATCTTTATTTAAACCAACCCGAGTTCATAAAACCTGTTTTTCATGTTTGCTTTATGGTTGTTGGGGAATAGTTTTGAATTATCTATTTTAGGCATAATGTCATATCCGAGTCCGACATGAAAGACTGACCATATACACTAAATCAACTTTCTTAACTCTGTGAAATCCACTTCTCATTTGTACCTACAATTATTTCCATTTGTTTATGTGATTATTCGTTCCAAGTGCTTTTTCTTTTTCGTGGCAATGATGCTTTTTCATGAACAGTTGATGTCTTCCACAGAAAATATGAGGCCCGAACTTTTTATTCCTACGCCCTCCAGAGGCTGCCTGGAGTATCGCGCTCAGGGAAGCCCACACCAAATATTACCCACCAAAAAACCAACAGCACAGAGGAGCCGTGGAGACGTTTCAACGCGTAAGAATAGATGCATAGATACATGTGCAGAAGGATGACTCTATGTGAATGTGAGCTGTTTGTTCAGGGTTCGAGTCTACATGGCGGATCTGGAGTCAGCGCTGCACTACTCTCTGAGGGTGGAAGTGTCTGCTTTTCCTGTAATCAACGGAGATGCTCTGAAGGCTCTAAAGATGTACATGTCTGTGCTGGCAAAGGTAAAGTGTAGTTTCCCAGTTTGACCACTAGATGGAGATTCACACTGCATCATGATCTCTAAGGCCACTCTGCCCATTTTGTCTGTATTTTTTGTTCTAAAATACATTTCTTATTTTTATTATTCAAATAACCGATTGAACAAACACTAAACCTGTACACATAAACCTGAGTCTCTCCTGGGGACAGTGTCTCCAAGAGAATTAAAGCTGGCCACGCACAGCTTTAAGTATCATGTCACGTTAGTCTCAATGCTGCCAAACCACAGTGTTACCAACAGGCCACGCAGCAGAGCTGTCTCTATCTGTAAGTTATCAACATTTAGTCTTGTTTTTACAGGAATATCTGTGGAACATGACAAAGTGTGTTTCTTTGCCCTTTTACCTTTTACACCTTGTTCCAAAATGTTTAGGAAGTATTATATTTTGGGTTGTGTTAAAAAGATGCTTAGATGAATATCAATATTTTTTAAAATTAGATACAAAATAAATTATGTATTTATTATATAGATTTTTGTTTTCAATGCATTTTTTTTTTTTTTTATTTTTTTTTTTTTTAACAAATCATGTATCGATACCCAGCCTTACTTACAAAAAAAATTAGGTTTTCTTCATTTTTAACACATTTTCACTTTGGAGGTGGAGGGCCGTTGCCATAGACTGAAACCCAGAGATATATTGTATTGCCATATTTCTACAACTGTTACATCACAATTCATTGCAAAACTCAAGGTTTTATTTTGATGCAGCTTGTAAAAAAGTGTTTTGTTTTTTTTACTTCTTTTGAAAGTGAGATGTATTACCTTGTGTATTGGCCCAACACGCCTCCGCTTGTTTTTCAAGAGAACCAACAAAGACAAAGTAACTTAAGATGACAAAAAAATTCACCTTTTTTTCTTATCAAAATGTGCATTTGTTAGTAACATTTTGTCATAACCAAATTTCAGCGCATATCACAATAATATCCATCACTGTGTGGCCCTCTTAGTAAATATATTCACAGTTTGGTCAGTCCCTTGTCCTGTCCGGGAGGTGCACTGTCCTGCTCTTTCTCTCTCTCTCTGGGGACTTGTGTCAAGCGTGTGTGTTTACGAGGGGCGTGTGTGGGGGGCCGCGCCGTGGCCTCCCATTAGCTCCAGTTTGTTTAGTCAATAGCAGGAGGTCCCAGTGGTATTTTTAGCTTGTCCTCAACCAGAATGGGGCAGTCGTTCTGAAGGGCTTTGTCTGAGGAGGCATATGACGGCCCCTATTGACTTCTGACTGCCACAGAATAACTAAATCTCTTGGGCTGGCTTTCTACACACTTCATTTTGTCAGGGTAACATTGCATTTTTATACACGAATTTGTTAGCATCTAAAATGTTTCCTCCTGCGTAATGAATAGAGATGTAATAAACAATTCATTTTATACCCGATTAGTTGGCCGATTATTTTTTTGGTTAACCGTTTAGTGGGATTTTTTATTATTTTTACCAAAACAAAACCAAAGTGATGCCCCTGGAGAACATCTTCAAAGAGATGACTTTGGGTTATTTGATGAAAAATACTTTTTAAACACATTTTAATTTAATTCTACAGTCATTATTGAATTATCTGAGTCATAAAACCTCTTCTCAGCATGTTTAAGTAAAAAAAAAGATCTATCACTAATTAATTTGTTGCTATTAAACAATCAACTTGTTACAGCCCTACAAATTAATATTATATTTCTTACTAAGTGTCTGATTCATGCTGTACGTATCACCTGATGACTGAATCGGTGACTGTATTCTGACACAATAGGAGCGTCATCCTCAGTGACCACCTCCACTGGTCACAACAACCGTTTATCCAGTGACCGCAGCAGACATTGAACCAGTAACCACCATAACCTTTGCCAGCTTTGTATAAACATGTTTTTGTGTAATATGTCCTTTTTGTTTTGCATGCATTGATGAAATTGCGAGATTTAGTGTCTTGTCAGGATGAAGTCGGATTTATGAACGGTCTACATGCGGATGCGGATTAAAAAGGGGGGATCTTGGGAAGCATAGGAGCATTACATTAAGGTTTTTAAGGATTACACCTCTGTCCTGCTTTTTCTTCAAAGAATTCCTTGAGCCCAGAGGCAGCGGGAATAAAACAACGAATTAGGAGATTCACAGATAAACATGTGATTTAGGACAATTGATTTGGATGGATTATATATTCGTTTTATTTTGCGCAGACATTTGAAACCATTGTTTTCCTGCTTTGTTTGTAACTCGTGGCTTATGTTGGAATAGTAATGGGAGTAAAGACATTTTTTTTGGTTCGGATGCAGAGATTGCCCCCTGTAGGTGCCTCTCTCTCCACTAGATGCCCGTTGTGGCCTCTCGTGCTGCGGTGCTAATGGGATCAGGGTGACATATTGTTGGGGAAGGGGATTGTCATGGTTCGAATGGGGCCAGGAGACTCGGGGGTTAAAGGAGGTGAGGTGCTGAGTCTAGAAGCTAACAATCATTTGTGCATCAAGGGCATTTCAAATTACTGATACTATTAGTTCTAGTATTTTTTTATATATATATTTATTTCAGTGGAATACACAGTCCATGTTTCTTTTTTTTATTTCTTATTTTACTCCACAAAATATTTATTAAAAACAGAATACACAGTCCACAATGATTTACGATTATTTTAATTCAAAACCACTAGAATCATAAGCAAAGTGTAAAGTTTACAAGGAATGAGATCAGTCATATACAGAGGCTTGAACTGTTGCAAAATCTGTTTACTTTGGATTTTTTGATTTTTTTGAATTTTTGAAAGCCACTATACATGCATTAACATTTAAAAAATATAATACTCTTGTCTTGAGCTTGAATGTTAATACAAGAAAGTTTGCCTTTAGTGCAAAGCTGGTGATATTGCTTTCATGTATTGATTGTTTAGTAGTCAATATAGTAATTATTGTGACAGGCCTACAGAGCACATAAATAACCTATTGAGTGATTTCCTTTCTACATGTATAAACACAAGTTACCAACAACAGACTAATCTCCAAAAATATGAGTCGAGAGAGGGAGACAGAAGGGCCATGAATAACACGGGCTTGTCATGGAGGGCCTTAAGCCTGTTACGGAGGAAACACCTGCGTTTTCTCCCAGGTCTGGATTCAAATGCGTGTGATGAGCTTTTCTGACTGGTTCTAGTCCAGAGCCGTGGATAAACCAGTTATCTGCTTCTCACGCAGACGTTGCACTCAGGACAAAGTTAAGTGGCCAGCAGCTCATGCATCACGGATGAGCAGAACTACATAAACAGACGCATGCGGCATGTGACTTTTCCATTTTGCTTCCTCTTTTTAAAGTCTGAAAATTACCAACGGTACTGTAGATCAGTTTTGTTATTTAGGTGAAACTTGATAAAATGGATATTGTTCAAAAGTCCATTTATTTCTGTTATTTGACTTACAATGTGAAACAAATATTGGACTCATTACTCGCAAAGTGACATATTGAGCCTGTATCTGTCTTGATTTTGTGGCTCACAGCTTGTAAAAATACTCAAACACACGTCAGGAAATAAAAATATTTTGAAATGGGACTGTACGCCATAATCATCGACATTATAACAAAAACAAGGCCAGACGTATGTGACTTCATATCGCCAAGTTGAAATCCAAAAATAAATGCATTTTTTGAACAATATTATGATTTTCTAAGTTTCACCTGTGTAAAAGGGCAGGTTATTCATCACATCAGCAGTGTCTTGGTCTGTTTTTAAACCAATTTTGGTAAAAAACAAAAGACTTGTTCATTTGGGGGATGGACAGCACTCATTCTGATGTTGGGATCACTGCGCAACAATCACAAAGAGTAAGTAAAATAGTCAATCTAAAAAAAAATTGAAACTCGATCAGATTTGTTAAATTTCAACAGCAAAAAACTTGAATTGAACTGAATTTAATGTAATACGTTTTCTGTGTGAAAAGTTGTGTCTAACCTGAAGTTGCTGTTCAATCTTTAAAGTGAATATTCTAACCAATCAAAAGTTAGGCCCACCCCTGCTCACCCACTCTGCTTCCTGACTGGGCAAAATCGATTCAACTTCCTGATTGACAGGCAAGCTCTCTCCGTAATGGTTCATCTATTCTCCTCCAGCAAATTTCACTGGTGTTGGTTTTGTCAAAGGAGAGGATTCTTTTAAATATATATTATAGAAAACACAAAATATTACAGGGCCAGAAGGTAAAAATTAAAAACATTTGAAGATAGTGACATCACCCTCACAGTGAAAACTATAGTAACAATACAAATATTTGTGAAATCCTCAATCCCTTAACCATGGGAAGTTCTGGGAAGGGACATAATTGGGGCTGCAGTTCCCAACTTCAGGCTTACGCTGAACAATTAGGAGTACATTAGGTAGAGCGTAGTGACAGCGGCTCTGTTTCCATTGTCACAGACGCACATGGAGCATTTGCCTGTTTGTCCTCCGTCGACAGCCGTCTCAGAAAACCCTCCGCTGGATTTCCTCTTTTCTTTCTGCTCTTAAGTCTCCCGGTCTCATGTTTCCACCGCCCGCTGCCATGGTAACGCAGCGACAGCGGATCTAAATAAACAAGCATGGGTTTTACCTGTAGCTGTTCAGTACGTTACTATACGATACATGCATTTGTTTAGAAAGAATAACTTTTGGGACTTTTACCCCTCTGTGCATACATCAACACACGCACTCAGTTTTACCACGTGTCGCTATATTTGCCATTTATATATACAGTGCCTTGCGAAAGTATTCGGCCCCCTTGAACCTTTCAACATTTTGCCATATTTCAGGCTTCAAACGTAAAGATATCAAATTTAAATTTTTTGTCATGAATCAACAACAATTGGGACACAATCGTGAAGTGGAATGAAATTTGTTGGATAATTTCAACTTTTTTAACAAATAAAAAACTGAAAAGTGGGGCGTGCAATATTATTCGGCCCCTTTACATTCAGTGCAGCAAACTCACTCCAGAAGTTCAGTGAGGATCTTTGAATGATCGATGTTGTCCTAAATGACTGATGATGATAAATAGAATGCATCTGTGTGTAATAAAGTCTCCGTATAAATGCACCTGCTCTTTGATAGTCTCAGGGTTCTGTTTAAAGCGCAGAGAGAACCATGAAGACAAAGGAACACACCAGGCAGGTCCGAGATACTATTGTGGAGAAGTTTAAAGCCGGATTTGGATACAAAAAGATTTCCCAAGCTTTAAACATCTCAAGGAGCACTGTGCAAGCAATTATATTGAAATGGAAGGAGTATCAGACCACTGCAAATCTACCAAGACCCGGCCGTCCCTCCAAACTTTCATCTCAAACAAGGAGAAGACTGATCAGAGATGCAGCCAAGAGGCCCCTGATCACTCTGGATGAACTGCAGATAACTACAGCTGAGGTGGGGATGGTGTGTTCAGGGTGATGAGCTGTGTTGCTTTTACGCCAAACATATCGTTTTGCATTGTGGCCAAAAAGTTTGATTTTGGTTTCATCTGACCAGAGCACCTTCTTCCACATGTTTGGTGTGTCTCCCAGGTGGCTTGTGGCAAACTTTAAGAGACTTTTTATGGATATCTTTGAGAAGTGGCCACTCTTCCATTATGGCCAGATTTGTGCAGTGCACGACTGATTGTTGTCCTATGGACAGACTCTCCCACCTCAGCTGTAGTTATCTGCAGTTCATCCAGAGCGATCATGGGCCTCTTGGCTGCATCTCTGATCAGTCTTTTCCTTGTTTGAGATGAAAGTTTGGAGGGACGGCCGGGTCTTGGTAGATTTGCAGTGGTCTGATACTCCTTCCATTTCAATATAATTGCTTGCACAGTGCTCCTTGAGATGTTTAAAGCTTGGGAAATCATTTTGTATCCAAATCCGGCTTTAAACTTCTCCACAACAGTATCTCGGACCTGCCTGGTGTGTTCCTTTGTCTTCATGGTTCTCTCTGCGCTTTAAACAGAACCCTGAGACTATCAAAGAGCAGGTGCATTTATACGGAGACTTGATTATTTTATTTTTATTTTTATTTATACTTTATTAAGGACTCACATGCAAGCACAGGATCCATAGCTAAGAATAATGAAAGAAAAGTAAAAATAATAATAAAAAAAAAATAACAGAACAGAGTTAAAACACACATAGTAATCACATATTCACATATTTAGAGCAAGTCACACATACAGAGAAGCACGCCAGTGACTCCAGAGCAAAGAAGTGAACCTGACTGAGCTAATGTTACACACAGGTGCATTCTATTTATCATCATCAGTCATTTAGGACAACATTGGATCATTCAAAGATCCTCACTGAACTTCTGGAGTGAGTTTGCTGCAATGAAAGTAAAGGGGCCGAATAATATTGCACGCCCCACTTTTCAGTTTTTTATTTGTTAAAAAAGTTTAAATTCCATCCATCCATTTTCTTCCCCTTAATCCATTTCTGGGTCAGGGGGGTGGCAGTCAGGGCTGCACCCGGTACACAGAGCACCAGCCCCTCACTGGTCCTCCTGCAGGTGGTGAGTCCACAAGAGCTGAGATCTTTCAGCGGGGGCTTTGGGCAAAGTAGGGTTAAGTGTCTTGCCCAAGGACACAACGACAGCAGTCATCAGTGGGAGTCATGAAGTAGGTATTACGGTGGGCTCAAACCCACGACCTTCAGGCCCAAAGGCCAATGCTCTACCAACTGAGCTACTGTCGCCCCTTTAAAAGTTTAAATTATCCAATACATTTCGTTCCACTTCACGATTGTGTCCCACTTGTTTTTGATTCATGACAAAAAAATTACATTTTATATCTTTATGTTTGAAGCCTGAAATGTGGCGAAATGTTGAAAGGTTCAAGGGGGCCGAATACTTTCGCAAGGCACTGTAGATTAACTGTAAATAAAGTGAATCAGCTCAAAATTTAGTGTGAAAAGAAGACTAACATTGAACAAGTTATTATTGTTATATTGTTATTTCCCCAGTACTTTCCAGGCCGCTCTGTGGTGAAGAACTCCTTAAAGTCTGTGGACTCTTGGCTTCAAAACACGTCTGGCAGCGACGTATCGTTTGATGACTTCAGAGAGGCGCTGGATAACACTGCACAGGTGAACGATCCATAGACAGACACTTGTACTTTACACTGTATATGATACGTGTTAAAAAATGTCTGTTTGAGATTGTGATCCCACAGAGAGATAAAGGGTGTACTATAATGCAGAACTCTCAAACCATTTATATAAGCACTTATTAAAAAAAGAGTAGTCCATCAATATTAGATTTTACATTGTTCTGCCATTCTCTCCTCACTCAGAGTTGTTGTATTCTGAGCATGTTGATGTTTAAGTTTGCAGAGCATTAAGAATAAGAAAAGAGAATTACATAAACACACACACACACAAAAAACATAAAATAATAATGATAATAATATTAAAAAATTAGACATATGCTTCTTCTCCCTCCTGCTAAAATGTTATATTTGGAGAGAGACAAAGTGAACCTATTAACGATAATGACACATGCAGAACGCAGAACATTAGTTTAAGTAAAAACAGCTAGACTCATGGTAATACATTTATGGTTAACGTGTGAAAACATGTTGCTTGTTTGTCACAGTGAACAGAACTATTATTTATGATCATATTTTGGTTCCAATGAACAAAATGTAAAATTGCATTCTGGGCTGTACATGTAAAAGTTTAAAGCGGAGTACCCGACCTTCAAACCACAATAAACATGTAACTCTTTCCTCGCTCTCTGCCACAACTTTCGATCCGTTTTTTCATCAGAAAGTGGAAGAATAGATCTTACTCAGCCAATCAGATCTCAGCCCAAAGAGTTAAATAGTGCGTTGCGGAGTTCCAAATATTTACGAATATGAAGAAGGTTATAATTACAAATTTTTTAAAATGAGATGAAGACAGCAGGTGTAGTGGTCTCAACGTTTAACTTATATATGACTTTCTTTGGGACAAACATGTTTTATTTAGGCAATAATAACATTGTAGGTTATACCCCAGCTTTAATACTAAGATGTTATGCCAAAACACATTATGTATTTACACATTGTATCTGCTTATGTCACTTCTCAATCTGGTACAATACCTCCACATGGTCTCTGCCCTGGCTCCGGTGCCAGCGTGACCAGCTGAAGTCTATGTGCTGTGTTTTTGGAATGGAGCCTGCATGCCTTCACTATATGGCTCCACACAAATTGAAAGAGTCACTTACTTACATCATTAGCTTTTAGCAAGCAAGTCAATGAATCAATTAATCAATGGGAAGGTATGAATGGACTTTGCCTCGGAGGAAATGGACTTTGCACACACCCGCTCTGCACATGCAAAATCTTTACTATTGACATCTGAGTAACGCTGTCAATCACCAGCAATTGCAAGCCAGCAAAGAGAATAAAACGACTTTGTGTCAGAGAAAATATGTTGTTGTATTCTTGGTTAGAGATCTGGGCAGCGCAGTTCATTAGGAAAGGTCCGGGCCGTTAACCTGGGATTGACTTGGCATTGATTTAGAAAAGAACTCGAAGCCGCTCTCTCTCGGTTTAACAGGTTACCGGTGGCTCGTGGGCTGTATAGTGTTTTTGTGTTTTGTTGTCTGACTTGTAATTCTCGTGTTTCAGGCCCCAGACACGGCGTTGCCAGACAGGGTGAGGTGGGTGGGCTGCCAGGGGTCCCAGCCACACCTCAGAGGGTATCCATGTGCAGTCTGGACACTCTTCCATGTGCTCACAGTTCAAGCTCTGCATGCTGGGGCTTCAGGTAGCAGCAAATACTCAGACATTAGCCAATTTCAATCTGACTTTGCATAGTATAGAAATAATGCAAATGATGAAGATATGTGTTTGTATTGTGTGTCTTTTATTGTTGGATGTTTTGTCCTTATTTTTAAAAGTAATTGTGTAGCACTGTGCCCAGACAACTTGCCTCTCAAGGACAATAAACTAAATGCGATGCTTTTCTGATACATAATCTCCTGACATCCACAAGGAAAGTTTAGATACATTTCAATCCTTTATGAAATTGTAAGAACATCTATTGGAAGAATCACTAATTTACTTTCCAAATTTTATTTCCAAATATCCCTCACATTTTAATAGAACTACTGTAATTATTCTGCAGATGGTGATGCAATATAAAAACAGGTGTAGGGTTGTTAGCCATGCTTCTAAGTGAATTAATTAATTGGAGTTGGCTGCACTTTTTCGTCATATTTCCACAGTAGTATAATGTTGTTTAAGATTGACTTTTCTACTGAAGTACACACACTTTTACTTGAGTAAGGGAATTATTTCAGTATTTTTACTTTAACCAGAGCGGATTGGTTTATTACTATCTATACTTTTACTTGAGTACCTAAGGCCAATTTGTTTTCCACCTCTGTGACTAATCTCCAACTACTTTTTTGTCTAAAGGTGTTTTTGCAGTGGTCCAAAAAGACAGTTGAATAATTATTTTACCATCCCCTCTTTATTATGATCTTGCACATCCAGAATAATACTTCCGAAATGGTTTGTGCGAGGGCTGTCGTCTCTTTGTAAACAAAAAATTCCTGGAATGTCTGTCTCACTGACCTAATTTAACATCAAAAGATATAAGCCCTCATTATTTATTCTTTTCATTTTTTGTTCTAACTAAAGTACAGCCTAATTGTAATGGTGTGAAGGGATTATATCAGATTAGTGGGATGTTAGTGGGTAATAAAACAGGCAGATGACCGAAGGCTCTGCTCCCGCCAGAGTGGGTAATCTCTCTCACAACACACCGAGGTTAATCCGGACTGTCCCATAACCTGCAGATGGAAGTTTCCATCTGCCCCACACTCTATCAAATAAACATACGAACTGTACTGAAGAGAATTATAAACTCTACATAAACACAAATAACTGCAGTATTTCACAAAATATTGCAAAGGCTTTATTGCTGTATTAATGATAGTATTCTCATTAAAGTCTTGAAGGCTTAGGAAATACAGAAAACTCGGAAATATGTGATTCAAGCCTGGAGGTTCTGAGACTACAGTGGAATCATCTTTCACACAGAGGGTTAACTGTATTTAATATCCAGATTGGGTTATCCCATTCACATAGATTATTCTTCACAATATGGGGTTAACCCAGCTCTCTGACTCCTGGCCCACATAACCGTGGGAATCCAAGGCCATTAGCAGGATTTTCACTAAAGCAAACTCAAAAGGATCGTCCAACTACAGTAACCAGGGGTGTGGCCGGCAGCTGCTTTACTGTTTTCTATACACATGGGAAACTAGCCCACCTTTTTACAGAATCAGGAAATCTGTCACTTACATAGATTGTTTTTGCATCCAGTTATTATAAACCAATGTGGCCTTTTGGTTTAATGAGGAGGCTTCAATGCCAGGACTAAAGAAAGGGGCTTGGCAGTTCTATCTGTTACTATTCATTAAATACGTAAGGATGATGAGGACACACACTTCATATTAAATGGGACTGACGTTAGTGTTTTGATAGTGGTTTGATGGTGCCTTCCCTCTCAGATGGTCTGGAGGTGCTGACTGCCATGAGAGAGTATGTGCATGCATTCTTCGGCTGCAGACCGTGTGCTCAGCACTTTGAGAGCATGGCCCAGGAAAGTCTGTCCGAGGTCTCCTCTTCCACCACTGCAGTCCTGTGGCTCTGGACAAGGCACAATCGGGTCAATAACAGACTAGCAGGTATGGTTATATTTATTTATTATGTAATACTTCTTAGATATATTTATTGTAACCACAAAACATGTTCAGTTGAAATACTTAAATACATGATCTTGATTTTTTTTTTTTTTATTTCTTCAAATGTGGTCTTAGCAGTTGTAGGACTAAAGAGGGTGAGGGGTCGAGGGAAGACGGATCCTCAGATCAGACACCAGCTGTCGTGCGGTCTTAGTCGTTCCAGGATCATTTGTTTAAGTCGTAACCATTTCTTGTTGTGTATATGTGCTTGATTTGACTCGTTTTTTGTTGATTTACACAATATTTACAGCTTAAATCTCATCTTTAGAATATTTAGAAACCCATTGTAATGTATTCATATCACCCTTAAATAATTCCGAAGGGCTCTCTGGAGTGTGCCTATTCTTTTGTATTAGGCACACTCCTGTCATTAAGAGCTTACTTTGTTAAATGGCTGTTTTGTGGCGTCCCTCGGTCTCCCAGGGACAGCTTGTGTGGTGAGCCCCGGTCGCCTGCTCCCCTGACACTCCAACAGTGCTCAGGCCTGTCCCATCCGTCTTCTTCCTCTTTCCATATTGCTGTATATCTCTTTGCACTCACCCTCCCCTGGGACTCATATTCCCCGCTTAACAAGTAATAGCACAGCATCCTCACAAAACAGGTCCCAGAGGATCCCAGCTGCCTGCGACACAAAAGCAGAGTATTGTACAACAGCAGGTGGCAGAGACCACCACACGAGCAGCAGCCCCTCCTCTTAACCAGTCATACCCCTCCTCACACACACACACACACACACACTCTCGGCACGGGTCAAGTGGCGACGTGTTCTGAGGGAGTTCTGTAGGCCTGATGGAGAAAGGGTCTGGGCCTGCAGAGATAAAGGGGTGCAAGTAGGGAAGTAAAGCTGTAGGTTCTGACGCCATTAGTTCAGTGAGTGGCAGTATGTCCCAGTGGGCTACAGGCTTCTTCCTCTGCCCCTCAGCCCCTGTCCCCTGTCCTAAAGGGAAGCTCTTTAGCAGCCGCCCGCCCCTTCTTTCAGGGGCAGCCATGCATGAAAGAGCAGCTATTTGTAAAGCGACCCAACAATTAATTTAGCTGGCAACAAAGAGACCCCAGGGCCCAGAGCCGTCCTGCTCTGGCTGAATTAAGAGCAGTGGCAGCAGCGTCCTGTTGCTGCTTGTCAACAGGCAGAGGCTGATACATATCCAGACAAACCCCAGTATCTCCACAGGAAACAGGCCGAAAACTGTTCCCACCACATGCTCTATTTAAGTTGTCATGGTTGACTATATACAATCATAATCATAAATTCTATGTTATTATTATCTCTGCTTTACAACAAAACGTTTCGTTTGATTTGTTTCTGTACAGTAGACTGTTGGAAGAGAGGCACCAAACACAAAACCCACACACCAGAATTATACTAGGTTTGGGGTGGCTCGGTTAAGGACACAATAATGAACTAATCCTCTATGACTCTTGATATTCTCAACGATCTCCCATCAGAGTCTCATCATTCACCCTGATACTAATCTTTGATTACAGCACACAATTGCTGTGTTTCAAAAAGCTTCTGTATTATTTCAAGATGGATTTCTATCCAGTGTGGCTGTAATTCCACCCACACTCTCACTCTCTGGTGTTGGGAGAGTGTGACCACAGCATAAAGCCCTGAACATATCCAAGTTTGTCAAGGATGTTTCACTGACTCAACCCATATGTCTCATGCTTCCTGAAGCAAGATCATGTTTCACAGTGTGCGCCCTATGACTCTATTGTCATCTTGGAATATGCCCGTCCCATTAGTGAAGAAATAACATAATTTAATTCAACGAGCTGACAAACATTTAAATGACTACAGTTTTGCTGTATTTTTCAATTGGAGACACGTTTGCACAGTTAAATTCAAGTCAATATTACATGAATCCTATTTTATAATGATTACCCTTACTTCAGTCCCAGAGCCAAGTATTATACATTTTTCATTCTTCTTCTGAAGTGATACAGTGCCTTTTTATAAATCTGAATTCAGAACCATGATTTTGTCATATTGTCACCTTTACATCATTCTATAAAACTCCTGATACTGGTAATCATGACAGCCGAGTCTTGTGCGAGCTTCGCTCTCAGAATTAGTGCTGAGGAAGCTGGTGGGACGTGCTGAACAATACATATTTATACCTGATGAATATGTATGCGTGGCAGTGATGACATCCCTGTGACAGGCCATTGTGGCAATCTCAATATCGCTGCTATGGCTAAAGTCACCCTGGCTCCAAACCTGGTGAGCTGATTAGAATAAGGAAGTGTATGTGTGTGTGGGTGCGTGTGTGTGTGTGTGTGTGTGTGTGTGTGTGTGTGTGTGTACACACTCACCTGCTGATATGTATAAGAGCCCCCTCCCACCAGGCCTTTCCAGGCGCTAGTAAAATTGATGTATCCTTTATGTAAAGTACTGTATGCAGAGTGCGTACACACATGCATATGACGGAGATTAATCGTGAGTGGCGGAGCGCGGGGAGAGGTGCGGGAGGATGTAAATTGACAGTGTTGTAAAGTGACAGACCTGCTGCTGCTCTGCTGTTTTTTTATCACGTACACACAAACACACAATACTCTGCCGGTGACAACAGGCAATTTATTACCAGAAGCTGCCACGTGTGTGTCCTTGTAACACAGTTGTGCCAGTGTCTAATGCAGAGCTGTTGTGAAGAAGTGACAAGACATGAAAGGAAACATGTTAAAAGAAAAAGTTTTAATTGATTGAAAAAGGTTAGTCTCCTCCCCCGAGCTTTCCACCAGTTTCATGTTCAATTTGGAGATTGGACTTGCTCTCCAAATGTAACGAACGGACAGGTGGTCTAGTGCACGTGGTCTACTGCCTGGGGATTACGTGTGGGTGGGTGGGTGGGTGTATGTGTGTGTGTGTGTGTGTGTGTGTGTACGTAGGGAAGCTGTCCAGTTTGGCAACATCTATTATTTCAGCAGACCTCCCACTGGGATGTCCCACAAGCCCATTGATCATTGTTAGGTGCTGTCACCCACACCCAAACACACAAAAATATCAATCCACAGATTACACACACTGTGACGCATGATTTACATATACACACTTAGGCACACGCACACATATGCATATAGGCACTTAGTTTTTACGAGGCTTGTGACAAGATCAAATGGGTTCAACAGCAGATTGCATCCAGTCCTCAAAGCACTTAGCTCCGTGAGTATATGCTACAACAAGGAACAGAGAACCAACAACAATAGATAAAGCTGCTGACTGGAAGAGCTGTGTCCCTGCTGCATGTGGCAATGAATCTGTTGGAAGCTTCACCTCCGGGTTTCATGCAGATGAATGAAGTAGTCGCTTTTTTGGCTCTTTAACATATAAGACAAAAGTTTTCATCTTACTTTGCAGGGGTCCCGTCATAAATACATGTCTGTTTTTCTAATGCATGCATTTGTCTTAATCGTATTTCTTCAATGCCAAAATTGTAATACATTTGGATAGATACTTTATAGATCCCTGCAGGAGAAATTAATTGGTTTGGCATTTTCAATTGAAGACAACAGTTTTTATCTTATCAACATTATTTGTATAGCACATTCAATTAACACAAAGGTCACTGGCGATAGTCAAGATGGTGAGTATGAGGAATGCACCTCTAGTGTGTATATGTGGGGTGTCCAATGGGCCGGGTGAGGTGTGCGGCGCATACAGCCTCTGTATGTGGTTTGCATCATACGCCCGCCTCAAACGAGCATGTTTCACAGGTGTTGCATTAGTCTGCATGAAAAGTGAATGGACACAATGTGACACGCAGAGGGAGCAGTGTAACAGGGTGCCATATACACTTCTCCATTGGGAAAGGTGGAATCAGAGCTGGGGTCTGGAACTGGAATTTAATACTTACAAGACAGGAATCGATACAATATGATAATTACTCTTTGCTTGAGTATCATTGAATGCATCACGAATCGAACCACATTGTGATGTTCTGAATCAATCAAATTTTATTTATAAAGCGCTTTTCGTTCAAAAAATACAACTCAAAGTGCTTTACAGTTTAGTTAAAACAATCTAATATGCCCGGCCCTAAACCCCACCAACCCACCCAAAACCACATTCATTAATAAATATACACCCACATGCGTATCTATACAATCGTCACATCTCTGTGCTTAGAACTCAATGGGGTTGGAAAGTAGATCTTGATAAAATGAGGCCTAGCCCTTACATGACCATCTGAGGAACCTGTGGCCGGAGAGCGTGATCTCTGGACTGAAAGAGTGAGGTTTAGTTTGTGGTACTGATGAGAACTTCTGCAGATCCAGATATTTACATCTTGAAACTCTGCTTCAAAAAATCAAAGTATTAAAACACTGTATACTGTATGTTTGGATTAATGTCGTCACGATACTACATTTAATATTAAGATGTATACTGTATGTTTATACATATATAATATATGTAATTATTCCAAATACACTCTTAACAATTCATTGTATTCGAATGAATGGTCCTTGGACTGAAGTGCTGCTGAGCGGTGTCCACAGCGTCACAAGAAGGATTAGCCAACACACTTCCCTTCCTCATCCTTGTTTGTACCTTTCCATCCTGACTCCTGATCACTACTGAAGTTAGGGCCTCCAGTGTCCCCTACCACTAGAAACATGCACAATAGGTAAATCCGAGCATCAACATCTGGAGATAGGTTCCTGGCGCTGTACCACTGCGACCCCTGCCCCTGACTGAGGCCCTAGTGGCTTTACAGGGAGGGTCAAATGCAGAAGACAAAGTTCTCTATGGGGATAAATAAAGTGCACATTCATATTTTACATTTTTTTGTAAATTATAATAAAGTTGTGGGTTTTCTTTCCTTATGGTAAATTTTCAATCTTAGAGTTGTGTTTATTACAATAACAATCACACATATTGCTATCTAAAAACGCAAACAAAATATTCCATGGATTTAATCTGTAAGCATATAGTATATCAGACAAAGGGATACATCATCCTCAAACAAGGCTGTGATTTGATTGGTCTGTGAAATGACACAATTAAACATGATTTCATGTGTATTCTATAGGTGCTTTAAGTGAGGACCCCGACTTTCCAAAGATCCAGTGGCCTTCTCCTGAAATGTGTCCTCTATGCCACACTCTCAAAGTCAATGGAGACCACAAGTGGGATCTGGATCAGGTTCTTCCCTTCCTCACAAAATACTATTCCAATAGCAGCATTCTCACAGGTACATTACAAGCGACAATTGTATTCATGTATAATTTTTGCCATATCTACTGTAACTGTCTCCACGCAATCTCCCCCTTTTTAGATTTTCTTGACGACGAAAGCCTAATCCTTGCGCAACAGAAGGAAAAACGTGTTTTTGAGGCTAAGAAACGTATCGAAAGAGCAGTCAAAGAGGCCACAACTATGAGCCCTCTGTCTTTACTCTCAAGTGTTCCAGGAGATGAAGTCGAAGAGGACGAGGAGGAGGAGGAGGAGGAGGAGGAGGAGGGGGAAGGCCCACAAGATGAAGATGTCGCAGAAGACATGGCGGGCGGTAAAAACTATGACACGACTCCCTGGGCCAAACCCGGCATGAGGCTGGGAGAAAAGCGGACGCAGAACAGGCCTGTCATTGTGGGTATGAGGATGAAGCAGCAGCCCGAGGATATCGTGGATCTCGACTCTTTCGTGAACCAGCACTACAGGGACAAGGCTCTCCGGGTCAGACGCAGGACGCTCCAGAGAAAGGAGGAGCAGGACCCAGCGCCTGTATTTGGTCTGGGACTGGGACTGGTCGGTCTGCAGCCCGTCGAGCCCGATTTTGAGAAGCAGAAAAGCAAACGGCTCCAGAAACGGGCACTTTCGCGACAGATGTACGACGTGAAGGCAGAGGAGGGTGGCCAAAGGAAAGGATGGGTGACTGTGTTCAGCATTGGATTCTCAAAAGTGGACATAAGTCTTTGTGTCATCCTCTATTTCCTGTCCTCCATGTGCCTCCTGACCATGTATCTGTTCTTCAAAAACCGCCTGAGGATACGGCAACCCAAAATGTCCGTCTTGTGAGCTAATCAGTGTGACATTTGGATTGCATTACAAGTCGAGTGTCTGGCTAAAGGGATGGCCCTGGATTAACACATCTTAAGATCACCACTTAAACAATGCCACAACTTTACCGTCCACGATTTCAGGACAACCCGCAATTTTTTTTATTATGAACGAGTTCAGCTTTTCAATCGCTTGTGTTTAACCACTTCAACAATAAGGATTTATGGAACATGTTTATGGCAGGTTGAATGTTGCTTTTTTTATGCCTCTACAAATTTTAGATTTTTTTTTTAAAGGTCATTTTATTTTTCAGGGTTTTTATATGGTATTTTTAATAGGAAAATTACAGCCTATAGATGCAGTAAGCACAACGCAAAATCCCCCAAACTCTGTAATAACCACATTATAACCATTTGCCGTGATATTTTTCCGCTTCTTGTTTTGATCAGATATTGTGACCACTTGTTTATTACCGTTAAGTTACGCGGTTCAAGATCATTTGAACTATTTGAAAAGTTGTATGCTTTGAAATAATACACTATACAGTTTCACACTGGACACAATTTGAAATAAGCTTTCTTTTGACTTGCAGCTGCTGTTTTAAGAAAAGTGGTTTCTCATCAACACTTTCTCACCAAGTCAATAAAATTATTTTTGATAAAGACCCCTTCAGTGCTGTCATCTTTTTCCCCCAAGAACTTGATCACTTTATCTGTGTATTTTCATTTCACGTTTATGCGGCATGTATACAAAAACATGTTAATAGGTTCATTCATTCATTCAATTTCTACCACTTTATTACTCCATTTCCGGGTCGGGGGGTGACAATGAGAACCGCCACCCATTGCTCATAGCATCAGTCCCAAATGTAAGTCCAATGTTGATAGGTGATTGGACTTAAATTTGAGAATAACAAATGTGTGTTTTTGTTTTGATGAAGATGCTCTGCACACGGCCGGGTGGAGCAGGGTGCGACATGCATGAAATGGGGGTTAAACTACACAAGGTTGGAGGAAAAAAGCCTGTTGCCATCTGCTGTTCTGCACAAACTAAATCCTAACAATTTCATTGGGATTATAGCAAGTGAATAATCCAGCTTTCCTTTAGGGGGAGAGATTACCCTTGAGGATTAGCTGCCTACAGATAATAAACTTTATTAAAACGTAATCAGCTTTGGTGGGCCTTCTTCCCTCACACACTTGGAGGTGGGCCCCGCAGTCCTCAGGGGCCAGAGCGTGTTCTGGCAATGAGGGATGAAAGAGGAGGATGAGCGTGGGCTTGATGTCACCTGGATTACATTTGGCTAACTTGAAGAACCAGTGCTGCTTGATCTTGAGCTTTGTGTTTCGAGGAAATGTTTTGATTCCCCTGACACTTGACCTCTGAGCTCCCAAAACCCCCCACCCCATCTCTGAAGTCCGGCTCGAATCAAACATTTAGGGATTCTGATATTTTTAGCTATCCATGACTTGTTTGTTAAACTTAAAGCCAGGGTATCAAACTTTCAAACCGCAACTAATTAAACTATATAATAAAATCCAGCTAACTAGTTTTTGGCTCTCAAACAGTTTGCTTCAGCTTCTAAGAGGGATTGGCTTAGAGATAGTGCCTCATGATCAGCTGTCAGACCAACGCAAGTGACATGGCACAGTGGTTAGCCCTTCACTGCAAGAAGGTTCAATTCCACCTTCAGACAGGTCCTTTCTGTATGGAGTTTGCATGTTCTCCCCATGTCTGCGAAGGTTGGCCCCAAGTGCTCTGCTTTCCACTACCACTAAAAACGTACAATAGGTCTGAATGTAATGTGTGAGACAGATGGTGATGGTCGGAGGCTTCGAGTGTTCAGCGTGTGGAGTAGCAGTACTCCAAAAACTCCTTGGTCTGTGAAATGCTTTAAATGAAGATGACGTTCTTGTTATGTGAGATATGATTTCTAATAAGATACAGCATACTAAGGTGTGATTTGTTCACATCATTTAACTGTTACTATAGACTATTGAGACAAAAACCTATTATCTATTATTCTTAAATAGTTGGGCACCAAATTTCCACCAGATTCTTCAAAGTGATTTGAAATGAAGAATCTGCTTAAAGCCTGCACATTTTTTCACTTATCTCCGGACACGTAAATATACTGCACATCTACATGGTTCGATGATGCGACACAGTGATCATGAAAATTAATGTTCTTTTAAACCACAGGGACAACAGAAAGCCCTGCAGTAATCCAAACCTGGGCATTTTTTGAGCTTTTGTTAAAGATCAGTAACTAACTTTAAAAAAAGAAAAGAAAAAACATACATGTTTTTAATCACAACAGAACAAGACTTGTAAAAGTTGTATTTTGAGAAAAAATTAGGCCAAAACCTGCTGTTTTCATCTTAATGGAAAACAAGATATTTTGGGGGTGACTTAAGAGCCCTGTGAGTCACAATTTGACCCTTTGGGCTGAGAGCTGGTTGGCTGAATGTGGTCTTCTCCTTTTCACTTTAGTGTCAAAAAAATCTGAGCCACAGATTTGAAAGAGGCCAAAAATAAATGATTGTCAAAACTGTTTTGTGAGCAATTATGGATTTGATTGCGTATGTTTACGTTTTGAAAGTTGGGTACCCCAGCTTTATTCTGTGAAAATGTTGCATCAATAATAAAAGGAGCGTCTGAGCGTCAGGTCTTCTGGTTCACTATAATGAGGGTTAATGAGGATCTTGGCAGCATTTATATCAGTCTGTGGCTCTGCCAGAAGACCGCAGTTCACTTCCAGGACAGTGTCTTAACATTTAAATAAATCAAGACACGTTTTTGTTGTGAATCGTTTATTTCAATTGTAACAATTGAAATTTAGATAATGATAGATAATAAAGTCAAACCAGTGAAATGACAGTTCTACCTCTGTGGTGTTGTGAGGTGCAGAGACGACAGAAAACATGGACAGTTGTCTGAGAGCTCACTGAAGGGTAAAAAGCTCACCTTGTTGCCCTGTTGTTCCCTTCCATAAATTAGACAATGTGGGGTTTTATGATGGCTCCGCTGCGGTACACTCAGCATCATGTTTATTGCCCCTGGGCCATTGATATTAAAATTCAGGAGCAGCTCGATGCATTTTTCTGTCATCTCCCTTTCTGACTTTAATAATACAATAAAGCTTTGTGCTGTGGACAACGCTGGAAGAGGAGGAGGGCTGAATAAATTATGAAATACGGGTTAATATATGGCATTGGTATATATCACATCAAAATAAAGCCGGATCCTCTGTTGGATTCTAACATGAGCCTTTTAAAGGCAAGAGTCAAGCAGGGTCAGGTCCTCCCATTATACTCTGCCCTTCCCCCAGTGACCAGAGCATCTCCAGCTCATCCTGGAGGGATGTTCAAGGCCATAACACTTCACTGTGTGGTTGAAGAAAGCATCACGTTGTTGTTGTTGTTGTTACTATTATTATTATTATTATTATCATCATCATATTATTATTATTAATTGTATTATTATTAGTATATAATTATTTTATAATAATAATAATATAATATGGTCTGGGGCCCTTCTCTGTTTGCATGTTCATTGTCTGCATATAGAGTTCCTCAGGGTGCTCCAGTTTTCTATAAAACAAAGACGATAAGCTACTCCTGAAGAGGCTGAAATGTCAGCTAAATCTCCTTGTTAAAAAGGCCAAAACAATAACACAATCAAAATATAATATCTATAATAAAAAATACGAAATATAGATGTTTTTATCGATCGCAAATACTTTGTTTTCTGTGGGTCATGCGGTTTTAATACAAGACAATGGCGTCAGTGATGGAGTCAAACGAGCCTATTAGCGCCTGGTGTCAGCTTCACGGGTCAGGTTCAATCGGGGAATTGGAAAAATATCATTTCTGACGTGAATAGATTTGTTTTGTTTTTTTTCCCCACAACCAATCTCTTCTACTAATTACCCAAATGGACAGGAGCTGTCAGGAGACAATAACTATTCCCTAATAGAATTTGCCCCCCAAGTGCAATTTAATTTTCTCGGCGCTAGGTTTCCCATGTTCTCTCCCTCTCTCTGGTCCCAACGCGCGGGGAGGACTGTGTGCCATGTCCGGCCGCAGACACTGCGCGCCTCGGAGTGAAGTGGACTGTTCGCCTGCTGCTTCCATCACCCACAGATGAAGATGGCCGGTGAAGGACGCATGAGGTGTGTTCATGAATATACAACATGTATTGAGAATCTTGACTTTTTAATGTCTGTAATATTTAAACGCGTTTTTTACTTATTGCCTTTAGAACTCGCCGTTAAAGCCCTGTGCATCCCGCGCTCTTTATGCAAAGTGCTGTGTTCACGTCAGGTCACATGGACTGCACTGTAACACTGTAAACGTGTGTGCATGACTGTGGCTCATGTGCACTCCTTGTTCACTGAGATGGATTTGTGAATCTCACATGTCAATGCAAGGGTCGACTGAAATATTAGCTCTAATTAGAGGTGGTTGGGTCAGTGGCAAAGGCAAAAGGAGTTGCCCTCTTCTTGAATTATTGCCGATCACTTCTTGCGCACCTTTGCTTCTTGAGCTGTTCCTTCCTAATCCTGATTTAGTCAGATTTTTAACAGGTCAAACTGATAAACATTCATTTTACGCAACTAAATTACAGTGGTACTGACTTGAATCGAATGAGAATGCTTTACATGGGACATGCCCTTTCGTCACTCCATCATTCAAGCACGCATTAGTGGAGCCCATCACCAAACTCTCTCTCTCTCTCTCTCTCTCTCTCTCTTTCTCTCTCTCTTTCTCTCTCTCATCTTTTTCTTTTTGCGTTTTGCGCCCGTCAATTATTCTAATTGCATTGGCCTTTGCTGACAGGTTAAGAGCATTTCTATTTGCATTGTTTTTCTGATGCAGCTAAAGGGTCTCAGTTGCAACATTCAAACTAATTGAATAGAATTGAATAGAAGAATAAATAGGACGATCTTGAGGGGAAAAGTGTATAATTGAAATAAAGTGGGACGAGATTATTTTCAGGACAAACAATGGAGAAAAGGATATATTGCTTTAGATCTTTGGGCATAATTCCTTCAATATCATATTGAAAGCTATTGCTTTTTAATCAGCACTCCGTGCATTTTAATTTCGTTAAAAGACCCAAGGTAAGCAGTACATACGGCTTATGGGATTGTGTGTTTTCTATTGAAACACGACATGCTGTACGTCTAGAGGAATTCAGCACTCTTATGCTATTATTATTGTTATTATTATTATGAATTATAATAATATTGTTTTTGTTGGTGACATGATGATTATTGTTATTACTGTTATTAATATTATAATGATTATTTTGTTACTATGCAATAAACTATAGTCTCATATCTCCATTTGTAGTTGCACTTACGAAATCTGGACTAAAGCTGTGCGTGTCTGTTGTTCCTGTTGCACTTGAGGTAAATTGAAGACGAAGACTGAGTTCATATGTTTGAACCATGCGGGCCTCCGTCGGGAATATGTTGTCTACAGAAGAGCTGCGAGGGAGAGACTCAAATCAACAGTGTCACAATGAGAGGAGCATCGAGGGAACAGGAGCTGTCCAGATCAACTCCTGTTTCTTAACTATATCCGTAACAGGCCAGTTTTGTGTTGAACACATTTGTGTTTATTTTGGTCTGTGCCTGTTTATGCTGTTCTATGTTGGTCTTCTGGGCGCAGGTTTCAGACTGAAAAATAACGATCAATTGTTTAGTTGCTTTTTCAACAACAAAAATGAGTCCTATAAACCAGGGCAGCCCTCTATCCTGAAGTGGCCTGTAATAGGCCCATTGAAGTGTACATTCCACTACATCTCCAGTTTCCTGCATGGTCCAAAAAGCCTCTCTTTACCCTCACCCACAGCCTGGCCTGGGCACCTATGGGTGCTCCCTGAAGACCCACTGCAGTGCTATTTATGGTCTCCACGGAAACCCTGGCCCCGCCCCCGAAGACATGTCCCTGTCTGTTTGATGGTGGGCTCTACACCTTCAGGGGACGCTTTCCTCGCGCCACGCTCCCATTGGCTGCTCATGGCTGTTTGCCGTGGTGACGTCACGGCCCGCCGCCCCTGCAGCGCTGAATGGAGCGCGAGGCTGTCTGAGCCCATCCAAAAGAGCAGTGCACGTCCCGGGACAGGAGGCTCAGGGACAGGACCGTACCCCGTTTAGTGACACAGACATCGGCCTGAGCGTAGAGCACGAGGCGGCTGTGGGACACCGGACACCGGACGGCTGCAGCGGGCGAGTAGGGTGCGCGTTTCCCGCGGGATCACGATGATGCAAAGTGCGGTGCTGCCGACAGAGAGCCCCGTGAAGAGTTTACCGGAGATTCTCGGAGTGCCACTGCAACGTAAGACCCTCTCCTCTTGTGCGTAATATAGAGTTTATGGAGCACTGCGGCAGGTACGTGCCGCGCGCGTTACAACAGCTCAGACTGACAGAGCAGTGATGCATGGATGATATTGGATGGATGATATTGGTCGCTGCAGGCCAGAGTTCTGATCCTCTAAATACAATGTCTTATCGTTTGACATTGATGCTCTGAAAATCAAGACATTTTCTGCAAGATGTTGGATAAAACATGGTGCTATATCTGGACAAAGAAACAAGGTATTACGCCGTCAGTGTATCTTATTTTGGAGAGTGTTTTATGCACACGTTGCCTTGAAAAAATAACAGCAGTTTTTTGGCCTCGTGCAGATTTTTCCCATATGTTCTCTTGAGTCAACTCCCTCACGTGTTGCCTAAAATTATTTTCGTCCATGTCTCATTTGATTAATTCTATGTCTGAGTTAAAACACTGTCAATTGGATCTTTAGTCTTCAAACATTAGGCCAGACTCGTTACTGACTATTACGGGTTTTTTTTTCAGTTTGTATGTATTTATTTATATTTAAATTAAAACGTTGATAGTAAAAAAGTAAATAACAATTGAAGTCATAATTTTTATTTTTAACCTACTATTTTTAATTTGTTTCTAGTGCTAACACAAGCATAATTATCAGATAAAGAAAAATCTCATTATCATTATGTTATTGTTTTGATATTATTATCATCATTATTATTTTTATTATTATTATTATTATTATTTTTATTAATATTAATAGAAGTAGTAGTAGTAGTATTATGATTATTATAAGTATTATTACGATTGTGATTTGTATTTGTATAGAGGTGCATAAAACGTGTGGAAAGGAGGATTTGACAAAAGCCTCTCTTAAAACATAGAAAGCACATTTGTTCATGCCCTTCCGCTTTGTATTTGAGTTACCTTTTTATGATATAAATGTTTAATTTTAGTAGAATCTGGTGATCAAAACCCTGCGGTGTCACATTCATTTGCTACACGTTTAGGGACACATCAATTATCTGAAAAAGCAAAGTGCGGGGGCCGGGACTGAGCAGCAATACGTCTTAAAAAGTCTCCGATTTCCCGTTTAAAATAACGGGAGAAGAAATGACAAATGACCTCGTGGCTTTACTCTCCTCACGCACGCGCACGGGACTGTGCCAAGCCCGCGCTGCTTTCCTTTCAGCACCACTGCTCAGTAAAAGCGCCTACATCCATCCCGCAGTTAACATTCACCCTGCGTTTTATAAAAGTGCTGTCACACATTCAGACACTTTCAAAAGCTTTTCCTCCGGCCGCAGCATTAGCCGCTGTTTTATCCAGGTATTATATATTACTGCATCCAGGTATTATTATAACTATTACTGCATCCAGGTATTATTATAACTATTACTGCATCCAGGTATTATTATATCTTTTACTGCATCCAGTTATTAACTTTCATTTGAAAAAGAAAAACATATATATATATCCTTATGTCTCGTTCTGTTTTCCTGGCCTATTGTTTGATTTATAATTTTGTTTTTCATATTTCTCAACATATAATGCATATCATTTATATGATTTTTAGTTAAATAATAGTCCTACTTTTCAGGATATGTTTGTGCTGTGCCTGTTGTATAACCTCGTGGGTTACTGTGATAAGATCAGGCTCAACGTGCTGCTGGTGTTAGGAGTGTATGAGCTGCTCTTGTACTTACGTCTCCGGTAAACACAAAGATCTATTCATTTTGAAAAGTTTTCTTTTGTAGAAAGGCCTTGAAATGTTGCCAAAGTCCACATGCACAATACAAATAAATGAACAAAACTCAAGGTTTAAATCATTATGTTCATATTCACACATACGACTCACATAGTCTTCATAAAACGTGAACTTAGATATTTCTTTTGATAAGGGTTTGCCGCCTGTTCTGGGAATTACTGCATCATCCACATACCAAAAAGCAGGAACATTTTAAATAAAATCAGCACCATGGACAGAGCATAATACTAAAAGACTGAACTCTAAAAATAATAACATTAAATAAACTATGTTTTCCCCCAAATAAACAAAAAAAGTCTTGAGGCCACTAAACTAAGTTTAATTATGATTCATGGGGAAAGCCCTTTAGAATTATTAATTGTCAAGATTTCCATGTTGAATGCACAAGAAAAGATCCAAGCCTCATACTTAAGCTGTTGCTGTGAATGTGTGTCTGTGTGATGCATTTAGCTCATGTTGTGTGTTGTGTATTGTGTATTGTGTGTTCTACAGAGATCCCTCAGTGCGCAGGGTGCAGTCAACACATCCTGGACAAGTTCATCCTCAAAGTGCTGGACAGACACTGGCACTCCAAGTGCCTCAAGTGTGCAGACTGCCAGACCCCGCTGGCCGACAAGTGCTTTTCCAGAGCAGGGAGCGTGTACTGCAAAGAAGATTTCTTCAAGTGAGTGATGTCTCTTACTTACACCTGTGCTTAATATGTGCTTTTATTGCATTGCACCTGCAATGTGATTGAATGTGGGGAATTTTATCATAGGTCATGGACTCTGCCTGAACTAACTGTTAGCAAATGTAGCTGTTTTATTTTAGTAAACTTAGGACCCACTGTGTAAGGAGCCAGTGTGATTTGCACTCTTTTGGTATAAATATGCAAATCGTTTACTAGCTGTTTTTTAATCTATTCATCTCTATGGAACAATAGAGATGTCTGGCCTAGTAGATTTAACACGGAATGCCTATTATTAAAAAAATATGTTTTACCTACAGTATCATTGAAGATATATGTTTAAGTCAATGTATAGAAGAACAATCTGCTTGTACTGTGTGATTGAAAGGGCCGTGTATCCTAAAGCTCTGTGCTCTGTTTGCTGCAGGCGTTTTGGGACAAAGTGTGCGTCATGCCAGCAGGGCATCCCTCCCACACAGGTGGTGCGGAAAGCACAGGACTTTGTGTATCACCTGCACTGCTTTGCCTGCATCATGTGCAGTCGACAGCTGGCCACTGGTGATGAGTTTTATCTCATGGAGGATGGGAGACTGGTCTGCAAAGTGGATTATGAGACGGCCAAACAGAATGGTATGCATACTTTCTGTGTCTGAACACAAAAAACAAGGGGGAGAATTTTGAGCTTACTAAATGTATTGAATTGCAGTCTCTGTCTGTACTCTATGCTGTGATGTGACACTGGCCTATGGTGTTTGTCATGTGGGTGTATTTGTTGTCGTCTTCCTTTTTCTTTATGCATCTGAGATTGATTATGTAAAGCAAGGTTCCAATATAGAGCAGTACCAATAACTCTGGTCCTTTGGCTCTGTAGCCGACTAGATTTATGTCCCACTGCTGCTAAGTCAGATGCTCAAGGACAACTGACCTTTCTAAATGACCACGATTCAACAATCACAGAACTGTGTAGTTTGGTTTGACAGGTTATTCACACATGTACTGTTTTCAGATGACTCTGAAGCAGGGACCAAGAGACCCAGGACCACCATCACAGCTAAGCAGCTAGAGACGCTGAAAAGTGCCTATAAGAACTCTCCCAAACCAGCACGCCACGTCCGGGAGCAACTGTCTTCAGAGACCGGCCTGGACATGCGGGTGGTGCAGGTAGGCCTTTTGTTTAAACATGAAATATTGTGTAGTTAAGGTTTCTGGATCGCTGATTCTGTTGCTTTGTTCAGGTGTGGTTTCAGAACAGGCGAGCAAAAGAAAAGCGGCTGAAGAAGGATGCAGGGCGCCATCGCTGGACACAGTTTTATAAGAGCGTCAAACGCAGTCGAGGAGGAACAAAAGCAGAAAAGGAGAGCTCCGCTGATGACGCAGGCCTCAGTGATAGTGAACTCAGCTTCAGAGGTAAACTATTTTTCAGCTAGTACTGAACCTTTATGATGTATAAATGAGCTGAATAAATGTGTGCGTATATTTTGACATGAATGAAAGATCTGTTAGGGAAAAAACATTTGACTTTCATACACTTTTTAATACTTCTCCTTAGGCCCCATGATGCCTTAGAACATTGATGTGAATTATTTAAAAACTCAGCAAGTACTTAGAGCTATATGCAAGTAACCGTTTAGACATGCTTTGTTATTTAATGCCCACAATGCCCATATTGGGAAGCCATAAAAGTCTGTGGGCCACTTTTAAAAAGAAGGCAGTTTTTATGAGAAATGAAAAGATGGCGACAGAAACTCCATAAAGCATGTGAGGCTTTTAGTCAATTAGAGGCCGAGCGCTCTGGGCTATTGTTGTGACTGAAACCACTCCAGAGTGATGGAGATGAAACAAATACTTTGTGCTACGGTAATTGCACTGACCGGATTTACTGTAGAAGACGTTAAAACACTCCTTTCTTCGTTTTAATTCAAAATTGACAAGGAGCCCTCGCGCTCCAGACCTCATTTTGTGTTCATATAGTATAACAGTAGATGTTAATGATTGAAAACATGTACAAACTTGATTGCATTTTGAAAACTGTATAAAAAAGAAGTACTTAGAGTGGAAGAGAGAGTGATGCCCTCGGACTACCTTCAGTACGGACTTCCTTCAGAGCAGGAAGTCCGTACTTTCTCCACCAATCAGCACAGAGCAATGATCTGGGGGAGGGGTGTAGGGTCAGAGAGTGTTTGGATATGTGTGTGTCTTGTGCCATGATAATATCTTACTTCGACTGTTGCTTTTTGTATTGTTCTCTGTTTGGCATTGTTCTTGTGTTGAATGAAGTGGGGTTTACACAGAGACACTGCGACAGTAAAACGTTAGATTTGGGGATTGGTTTGGCCTCCAGTTTACGTTGAGAAACAGCCTCCAGAGTGGAACAGAACAGATACGCCACAGCAGTGTGAAGAAAAAGGTGTGAATTCTCTGCCTGCTATGACCTCTGAACTTCCCCACAAGTACATTTGGACATGCGCAGTAGCCGAGAACGAAACGTAAACAACAATAGCAGCGGGTACATTAATGCTACGTGTGCTTCGAGCGCTACACAAAGGAGAATTCTACTCCTTCGTTCGTCCAAACGAAACCACGCGAAGCTGTAGTTTCAGTTTCCTTTTTCGCTGCTGCTGTTAAATGCAGAATGATGTTGGTGCATTCTTTCACTTCTTTGCGGCGGCTTGAGGAGGATGTTGTTGTACTGGTGAGTGTGTCGCAACGTTCCACTGCCCACTACTGGCCGGGCGCTAGGACTACATTGTTTTCCGTCGTCTCCGCAGCGTCTCTGTCCAAACAGGGCCTGAGTAAAGGGAGGTTATAAGTGTCTGCTTCATCCAACCCCTTTTAAGAATATGTTTGTTTGAATGTACGTTATTAGGTTCAGTAGGTTGTGCATGTTCTAGAATAAACATCTTGATTGGTAATTGACTGATAATCCTGTTGTTCTCCGTAGATGACCAGGTGCTGTCAGACCTGGGCCATGCTAACGGCCTCTACGGCAGTGTGGGCGATGTGACTGGTGGAGGCGTTCTCAATGGGAGCTTCACGGTGGACGCAGTGGGACAGTCTTACCACGACATCAGAGCAGGAAGTCCGTACGGTCTTCCCCAATCACCGTCGTCCATCGGGTCTCTGCCTGGACACACACCTCTGCTCAACAACCTGGCATTCAGCATGGACAGCCTGGTGGCACAAGGTGGGACAGGGGGTGTGGGCCAGGCCCTCAGAGCCATGGCAGGAGGCCCCACCTCAGACCTGTCCACAGGCAGCAGTACGGGATACCCCGACTTCCCCACCAGCCCCGCTTCCTGGCTCGACGAGATGGACCATTCGCAGTTTTGAGCCTGAGCACAGTGCAATCTATGGGGACCCAAGGGAGAGACTCGAGGCTTTTTACATTTGTATTGTTCTCCACAGAGGAGTTTGGTAAAGACAAGGACAGTAGGGGTCCAGATGTGTTTCAACTCTACAATTCATGACTGGAGCGAGTGCAGCTGAATTTTTAACACTATCATGTTGACACTACCATGTCTCATCTTGTTTTTTTTTTTTTGAAACCAACTTCATTGTGTGTATCGCTCTGGGAATCATGGTGAACATACAAACCACAACATGTCTGTGTTACAGCCACAAGAGGCTCTGTCAGTCATGTCAGAAGAGCTGCTCCGGCCGCATCAAAGCCTTTCTTTTGCACTTTACTCTCCCTGTCTTTTTCCATTGTTGGACGGACGAGAGGAGGAGAGATCTGTATGCACAAGGCAAAATCACAGTGATTTATTGGGGAAAAAATACAAAAAACAGTGGCACAAGTGTGAATTTTGAAAAGATTTTATATTGTAGCTCTGAAGCTTCTGTACACTTCAGTTATTTGGAGATAGTCGCTGTGTGTCTGTTTGTCCATTTCATGATATTTTGTCTGAAGAGGTAAAACGGTTGTATGCTCAGAGCAGACTTGTGCTGTAATGTTATCATTTCTGAAAATAACAGCATTCAGTTTTTTAATCTTTAATTAAACTGATGATACACAGATCGAGCTAAACATTTTATATTATTTATTTTTTCTTTGAAATTCAGATATTTTTAATATATTGGAATGAAAATGCTGTGGAGTATTAGCAGGGACAATGTTGAGATATCTTTCTTTCTTTAGTCTGATCTAGGCTTCTGGTGGTAATCTACTCAGAGTTGCAGGGCTTTAGCTTTGCCTCATATCAACCTACTTACTCACCCCAGATGTGGCCTCCATCACTGGGGGATTACAGCCCTGTCCCCCCTTCTCCTTGGGCCATGTTCTGCAGGTCAGGAGTGGATTCTTAGTTCAGGCCTCACAAGCTGAATCTTAAACCCAAAAGGAGGGCAACAAAACACACAGGACTGTTCTGTTTGAGGTAACAGGGAAAACATATCAAATCGACTTTTTTAATCAAAGTTGTAATGTCCCAATCTCACAAATACAAACAAGAATCAAAATCAACCCAATTTGCGTTTGGCCTGTTGCCTCGGATATCTTTAAGTGTTGTAAATTCTGTACAGTTTGAAGCTGTGTCTGCTGTCTTGTTTCATTGATCACTATTTATTATTATTAATTATTATGATTATTGCCATGTGTCTTTGAAAAAGATGTAAAAGAGAGCACTGAATTATTCATTTATGCCTTCTGTGTAATGGTATGAACTGTACAGTCAAATCTATATGAGCAAATAAAGCTGGATTGTCTTTGGGTTACATCCCCTTGTGCTGGTGTCTTTGAAAGCCATATTTATCCAGGATATCATTTCAGCCAAGAATTTCTGATCTTTTTTTGAAGGGACACTACAGAGACTACTGAAAATGCAGTTTCCAGTTGCACATTTACCCATCTTTTCCTGATTTATCAAGAGAAATATGTGAAAGGTGTTTTTACTATTTTGCCTTATTGAAACGTTCTTAAAGGGAGTGAACCCGCAAATTCATTTACCCATTGAGAGCATTTACCACACACTTAGGCCTCGATTCAATTGTGGAGATCCATTTAGTACCACCAGCAGACAGTGTTCAGTCAGTTAACAGTGATGGATGCTGCTTTCTTCTCTGGCCTGACTCGTCCGCGGGTGACATGAAAGATGCATGGAAAGAGAAGGAAAGAGATAAAAGGAAAGAACAGGAAAAAATAAAACGGAAGACAGTTGCCCGGCCCTGATCCGCTCTGAGCCAAAGCCACAGCAGCGGATTGCACTGCGGCGCAATCTTATCCTAATCCCCAAGCTGTTAACTAATTGTACTGCGCTTTGTCAAATATGGACAAAATATGCTTTGTAGGAAAGAGAGAGAAAAATAGCCCAGGCTCTGTGGTTTTAGTTATGGTGGTTCTTCTATCTGGCTGGATCTCTGAAATCATCTATCCATTCTACCCACAGTTCAAGAGGTAACAAAACACGTTATTATTCAAGTGGAAAATAAAGGTAATAATATAAAGAACAAATATCTCATGTGGAAAGAGCAGAGAAAAAGGTTTTATGGCTTTTGTCTAGAATCAGATCTGAATAAAGAATAAAATAATGAAAAGGGTTTTATTTAACAAAAACAAAGTAATATATGGAACAAAATCACTCTTTTAGTTCAACTATGATGTATCCAAAAGCAACCATTATCTTATAAGAATTTGGTTTCAAGATTTTATCATCTAAATAAAGACCTGTCAATAATAACAAGCTCCACACACATCCAAGCTATTGTGAAAAATGTTACATCTCAGTTACAACAGAGATTGTACAAAGTAGGGATAAAGAATGTTATATCATCATGTGAACGCACTCCCGGGCATATGCTTAGCACCACAGTGGAATTTGTCCTCTGCATTTGACCCATCATGCACTGCCACTCGGGCTTCTGTCGGGGGCAGTGATCTCTATAGCTCTGAGCCCAAGAACCCATCTCCAGATGTTGATGCTCGTAGACAGGACCAGAGAGGGAAGATTTTACTTTCGGTGCATGTTTTGGGTGGTGGGGGAAACCGGAGCAGCTGGAGAAAACCCTCCCAGACACAGGGAGAAACACGCAAACTTCACACAGACACAAAATCAAACATGTGACCTTGCTTTGAAGTGCTATCCATCCAGCAGAGATTATTTTTATATTATCTATCAAAAGCAACCTTTGGTCATCCCTGCATCTGGGGCATTAGAAGGCCTCTCATGTTTGTCTGGATTCATTCTCTCTTACTGTGCTGTGGTGTTGGCTAACTATGCATAGAATTATAATGACATTACAGCACGCACTACATCTGTGTGAGGCTCATTTGTATGCAGCTGCGCACAGCATTTGTCTGAGCCTGGCCAACCTAAACCAAACTTAAGTGTTATCGATTCCTTTGTGTTTTAGCTATTCCTATTGCATTAAAAAGAAAAGCAAAGAGTATATGCCTGCTCCGGAGTTAGCACGTTTGCATAAAATGCCACAAATTGAGCTGATTTTTATTTAAGCATTGATTGGCTGGGATATGGGCATTAATGGATAGGCTCTAATAGTACAGGCTTACAAAGATAAAGGACCACATGGACAGTTAGGATAATTTACACACCACTTACAGCAGTAGTATACAAATAAATCTACACAAACTCCACCACTGTTGCTTTTGCAAAGATGACAAACACAAGCACAAACGCCATTATCATCGATCGTTGAGGCTTTTATAACAAACTTCCTGGAGGAAACTGTTTCTTGGGTCCAAACCCTAAGTGAATAAATTAACATGTAAAAAAGGCATTATTTGTTTGGAGTTTGAAGTCGGCCTCGTGGCTCTGAGACAGGGCATTTTTCTCCTCTACCCAAAGTGCGGCGAACAAAGCAGCTTAAAATGACAGAGGGAGTCTTTAAAAGGCGTCGCACACTTTCCTCTCAATGACACACTCAAGGTTGAGGGTTCAGAGCCGCTTTAATGTGGAACAGGGGAAAAGAAATGGGCCAGGACACTCAAGAGGAGTGTTTGTGCTGCTCCAAAGCCTGGATAAAGGAAAGGAGAACTGTTAGAGAGACGCTGTTGCTGAGGTCAGTGGTTCCCAAGCTTTTTGCCCTGTTGCCCCTAGCCAGCACAGACCAGCACAAGAAACCTCTGTAAGAAAGAAATGGAACAATAACAAATCTTTCACCTATTGCTGGGGTGTCATTGTACGGAGGCTACAACCTGATTTTTTTCTACAAAGTGGAAAAAAATCTGTATCTGTCAGTTTCTTTACAGTTTCCTCTTTCGCAATTGTGTTTTTCTTTACTAAATGATGTCGGCATTTAGACAAAAAGATTGATTTGATGTAACTTGAGGGTTAATAATCTGACGGCTCTAAAACTAAGATAAGATAAGAAATCCTTTATTCGTCCCACAGTGGGGAAATTTCGATGTTGCAGCGCACAGACAGGACAGTAGTAAGAGACACACAGGGAGCACACAAAATATACAAAATAAGTAGTAGCTTTGTTTCTTAACTATGCTTCGATACCAGCCTTTCAAAATAAAATAAAATATATATGTAGTAGTTCTACACTGTACATATTTTGCAGGATAAGAAAGTAAAGTGACATTGTTCAGTGGATAATCTGAAGTTGCAGTATTGCTCATTGCACATGATTTAAGTATCAACTTATTTACAGATGAATGACATTTACAGATAGCAGTTCTCATTGTACAGTCTGACAGCAGCAGGAAGAAAGATCAAAAGTTTGACGGTCTATCAGCTTGTCACGGTGGCCCATATTAACCCACGTTAATATTCACGTGTATCATATCATCTATATCATCTCATGTAACCACTGCAATACGCGGACCCTTGTACCACCGGTTGGGAAACACAGGCTGAACTAGGTTTGTTGTTGTAAATATGTGTCAAGTTTTGGATTTTTACAACCCATTGCATCACCATTTTAAATGCATAATTTATTTTCATTTTTTTTGTATTGCAGCTTCTCTTTGGGAAGCTTTCAGTTGTTTTAAAGACTGCAAACCAGACTGTGTAATGTGTACCGGCATATACCTGAAGTCTGAAAGCTCAGCTCTTAAGTGTCAGTGGGGAGCAGAAACGCTTGTTCATCACCATAAAATACACATAAAGCTTTAGAGACGACTTGAACTTGAACACACACACACACACACACACACACACACAAAATTTGTGCTTACTGTTAGCTTCTCAGCCTTCTCTCCAGCCTCCTCTTGGGGGAGGCTGTCGTGAGGAGGGGGGACTGTTGCATAAATAACCAGACGAAATAAAAACTGTGTGTGTCTTTGAAGGGAACACTAAAAATGCTGCAGATGGAAATAAACTGTTGAAGGCTTGTGGCTGAGGAGACAGAATAATGCAAGAGCAGGAGGCAGAGAGGCGGAGTGAAATGCTGCTCCCAACGCCCAAATATTTCTCTCACATGGAAGAACCCCGACATCATGTTGTATAAATCTGTTCACAGACTGTATATTTTAAAATTGTTTTGTCTTTAAAGTGTTTTTCTTTTACTGTTTACCATTACTATAACATATAACGTGAGTGTCAGTTACTTTTTAAATTGTGAAGAGATTAAATATTGTGTAAGCACTGGTTAGAGCACTTGCTTCCTGATTGATTGAAAATTAATTGAGATCCTTCATTGACATGCGAGCAGACTCCCAATTGGTTATTTTTTATGTATGTTCTGTTTATTTGGTTGGGACATTGCATGTTTATGAACACACCTCTCCGGATGGAAGCCTTGGGCTAATTGGCATCCGTTGTCACACAAACACACACTCACGAACCCTGATCTATCGTACATGTTTTTAGTGGTAGGGGAAACCGGAGTACCCGGAGGAAACCTACCCTGACATGGGGAGAGCATACAAACTCCACGCAGAAAGACCTTCTTGCTGTGAAGCACAAACGCTAACTGCTGCACCACAGTGCCGTCATACAAACTATTATTATCTTGTGTCATATTAGCAGCACTCATACTGGGAGTACTTTCTTTACATAACAGGACAGGGCCAGGTCAAATGGATTCTTTTAAAAATTACACTGAAGTTACAATCACCTTTAGGATCCGGACCCTGAGAGACAGGTCAAACGAGGCGTCTTGCTGGGATTAAAAACCCCCCTCAAGATTTGTGTGGCTTTGATGTAATTTTCAATTCTTACTATTAATTTATATAATTTTAACGCTAGTAACTATCGTAGAAATGTCCCCACTGTGGGACAAATAAAGGATCTCTTAATCTTAATATTAAATGTAGTATCGTGACGACCAAAAAATCAAACACGAAAACAGACCAATTATCAACATTATAACAAATAAAGGCTTGATACATCTCACTTTGTCATATATTAGTTTCACTTTGTAAGTTTAGATAAAGAATAAATAGACTTTTGAACAATATTCTAATGTTATATCTTACTAACAACAGTCTGTAGGCACTTGCAAGGTCATACAATGCACCGGCGCCAAACTATCCTTCCAAACTGTACTTTTGTTCTGAGTATTTATTTGGATGTCTGCAACTTGTCCACCCACAAACATCTGTGACAGTTGTGATTGAAGTAATGCCAGGGCCCGGGGCGTGCGAGTCTGCGGTTTGGAGAGAGAGGTGGACGCAGTGTCAAAAGTGAAAAGCACAGAGGAAAATTGAAGCTCCATAATGGAAGCATAATGGGCTTAGTGTCAGACGAGCTGGAGGGGGACGTCACCCTCTCTTACCTCCAGCCATTGTAACGGGGTTTACAGAGCACCAGCGAGATGACGCGGGGCTACAAACAGGCTTTAGAGATAGACCGAGGCCCTAATGGTGCCATGTGCATGGAATTCATAACAATGGGATGAGGGCTTCTCTGTGAGATTGTGGAACATCATGTCTTTGACTGAGTGGATACACAACAGGCTCACGATGTACTCAAGAGCCCTCCCAAAACCTGTCCACTAATGTGCATGTTGGACCAAAATATGTTGGTGACCAGGTTTGCAAAGCACCTAATATTTTAAGCTGGAGTAGCTGACTTTAAAAATATAAATAATTATGCAACAACATAACTACTTTTCACATCCTTGATATCCTTGTATCCCTATTACAGACCTACTCAGCTCTCCACCCAAAGGGTCAAATAGTGACCCTTCTGGACTCTTTCTTACAAGTATGCAAAATATAAAATGTTTTTCAATCATAGCCCATAATAATAGAATTCATGTGCATATATGTGTTTTGTTTGTAACAGTCAGAAAATGCAGTTCATTGCTAAGCAAATACAGACTTGGTTACTTCTATTGCTACTTCAACACAATCTCCCTCAATTGGAGTTAGATGTATTAACAAGGTAATAAGGTCAAATGTTGTGGTTCTTTGAAAAGAACCACAAAAAGCAGTCCCTCAATTGTAATGAGTGCCTCTGTACAGATAGTGAAGATTATGTGATGCCATGAAAAGAACAGTAATTCAGTTAAATAGATGTTGTCTAATTAAGATCAACATTTCAACATTGATTACCAAATTGGGTTTATAAGCTGTCATACTTTTGTATATTTTAAATTGTAATCATACTGGTCACGGAGTTCTCCGGACTGGTCATAATGTTTTGCATTACCAGATATGTCATGTATGCCTTACTCAAAGACAGTTTTAATATTCTCTTATTGCAATAACAATGTCAATTAGCAGTCTGTCCAGAGACTGGCCAAACTTTCTGAACTCTAAAGCCCTTTGGAGAAAATGAGTCTCTACATTTAGGATGATTTAGAGAGGAACAGAACATGGCACTCGACACGAACATCACGTCAAGCTTTTGATTCACCTCATGCAGGGATCCACTGCATACTCTTTGATTCACTGCAGGTGCAGTAAAACAGTTGTCAAGACAAAGTGAGGCACTGGCAATGACTACAGATGAGCGCGCTGAGTGACGGCCGCAGCACACACTTATCTGACACCTTTTGTCGAGGCAGATTTCCAACAGTTAAACTCAGAGGCCGCTGACAGACAGTGTGGGCTAAGCCGCTGCAAACACGGCTTTAAACACATTAAACCCATTTGTTTCTTTACTCGAGGATACAGCGCCTGCTCTGCTGTTAAACCACTGATTTTACATTTGGGTTGAAAAGTGGATAAAGCAAAATAAAAGTATAATTTGAGAGAATGTTATATCTTGTGCTTAATTAGTCATAGAATCCTCATAACAATCCTTTGAGAATTGTTGCAAGATGATGTTCTTAACATAACACATTTAAGACCCAATCCGAACACTGTTTTTATTAAAAAGACCAGACATTTCTGATCTATAATTTTAATTATTGAACTTAAAATGGCTTAAACAATTCACCACTTGAAAACAAAAAAAGACTATTATGCTAAACAAGAATAAAAGGAATTGAGGAATACATTTCAGATGTGTGATCACTGATCATTGCCCATGACCATAATATAATAAATGTTGTTTCTCAATAAATTAATTGAATATACATAATCCCGACGAATTCAAGAAATCTCTGCACTGGTAATGCATACAAAAGCACTCGCACGGACACGGATGGCTACAGGTTCTGCAGGGACTGAGCTTAGATTATTTACAAATATTTTGAGTTGAAGGATCAGGATTTTGAAAAGCATCACACAAAATGAAAACATTAAATCTTTGTCATTAAGAATAAACCAGCATTATAGTTGTTATCAGTACAATCAGTCAGTCAAGGTGTTTCAACAGGATTCCCTCGTATCTGGAACCATGTCATGCTTCTGACAAATTCACAATATTCCACTACCTTCCTTTTTGATCCCCTCATGATACAGTTTGTTACATAAATGAGCAGATGCACTTTAATGGAAAAAAAACAAAACAGTCTGTAGATTCATTTGTTAGAACAGAAATCTGATGAGAGGTGTGCAGTGCTTATGTAGAAAAGGAGAGAGCACAGATCTAGTCTTTGGGGGAAGTGAATTGGTGCAGAATGGACGAGATGGTTCTGGACTCTGTCACCTCTTCTGGAAGAGACCCCTCCATGTCTTTGATGGACGGGTCAGCGCCGGAGTTCAGCAAAACCTCCACGATGTCAGCAAACTCACACGCAGATGCTACAGAGACAAGAGTAGACACTGGATGAATGAAGGGAATATATTGGACTGAGACATGATTTAGACAAGAAACTGCACAGGCTCAAACTCAAGTGACTGCTTGGTTCAGACTATTTTCTGTGCTCTGTTTCAGAGTGAAATTATTACTGCTCCATTAGCATAAAAAAAGCATTCCTCCATCTTCGTTTGGACCGTGCATCCTCTCTGCTCTGGTCTGTATCAGTGCATAACCATAAACACCACTGCAGTATCACATGTCAATATTCATTCACTCCATATCCGCTGTGGTAATAAACAATAGCAAAAACTGCCCTGGAGCACACTGACAGAAGCGAGTCAACCAGTATGTGCCATCGGCCCCTCCGAGGAGACCTTCCCAGACGTCTCCCATCACAGTACTAATCAGGCCCTGTGCTGCTTAGCTTCAGAGGTCTTACTGGATCTGACTGTCTCATGCAGATATGACCAATATGTTCCATGTATTGTTCACTTTTTCTTTACCACCAAATGTCAGTCTTCTCTTTGGTCTATCATTGCTTGAACAGTATTTGTTACCTATGCTCTAAGGAGAGTCACACATTTTGAACTTTCTGTTAAACAGTGAAAAGTTTGAAAAAGCATGCACTAATATTGACTATCACTAAATCAGAGTGATTGTAGTAAGTGTAGAAGAGAAGTATCTGGGTAAATGTACTTCTATTCAAACAGGTGAGCATACATGATACACAATAAAATAATGCAATACTTAGTCCGGTTAATGAAAAGCACATCTCAGACCCAGGGCTGACATCTGGCTGAACCTGAGCTTTTCTCAACCACTAAAAGGGTCTGATCCATCCCTTACAACAGGCAGGAGGGTGACTTGCACTTTTCTTAACCCAGTTAGCAGGTTTGGGCTGCCCTCTGGTCTCTCTGGCACCTCATCCCCTTTATCTGCTCCTCTGAGTGCTCTTGTGTCTGTGTCAAACGCTCTCTCCATTTAAAAAGCTGATCGAAGGCCAATGATTGCTGATGTCAGCAGCCGCAGTGATTGACAGCCAGGCCTTGTAACCTGCTGCTGGTATGCATGAGATATGATCATATACATGCATGTCCATGCACACAGTGTCTTAAAAGGTAATATATTGACCACCACAAGGACCACTAATGATTCACCACATGTGACTGACTAAAGAGGCATTGCAGAGCTCAGGTTGTTGCTCTAAACAGTGTTTTATTTAGGCGGCGTGTGCCTGTGCAGTGGGTGTCTGCCATGGGCCTTGAGCTGTAAAAAGTGGCCGGCCCTCGTGGGAGCCGTAGAGGAGGAGCACAATTTATGCGCCGCACACACACACAACAACACACACGCACACACACAACACACCTGTGGTGGAGGACACGCACGCCTTTTGGGACAGTCCTTGAGATGTGGGGCATGAGCGGGTCACAGGGGGACGAGTGCGATTTCCTCTGGGAGGGACTTTGTGATTATTACCACACCCACACAAGAAACGCAGACGGGAGCAAAACCACCAAACGACTGTGATATCACTTGTTACACACAGCCAGGGAGCTCTAACCTGGAGCTAAAGACTGCGTGCAAGTGTCTGTAAACACAAATAGATATAACAATAGAGGGTCGCTAAACCAATACCGCTCCAATAACTTACGGGGAGTAGTACACAATGCTTACACACCCTAATAAAGCCCCTCGGTCCCATGAAATAATTGCACCAGAACAATTTTCTCATATTTGGAGACTTGGTGCGATTACTGATCCCTGTAAACATAATATTATAAATAAAAACTAAAAAAAATAATTCTGCCAACAGTATGCCTGTTGATTTGTGCATCTTCTTTGTGGATACTATTCGGGCATTTGTTCGCAGAGTTATGAACCAGAGCCAGTACACATAACAATTATATAGCGTTGTTCTATCAGAAAAAAAGTATTTGTATTTTTATAACTATAATTTTAATTCCTTCTCATGCTGCACCCAGAATGGACCTCTCCTTCAACAACATCCACAAAATGCTTGCTATCTATTTTATTTTCAAATAAAATCTGAAAAAATACAACAATAATTTTAATTACGCGTGAAATCTTTCTCTATTATTTTGGAAACAAAAAATAATCTACCCTACCCATTATTCTACTTTTCTACAACATAAATTCCTTAGTCCTAATCGCCATAGAAGCATGTTGATGTTGTATATGTTAGTCATTATCTATATGACGACTGCTATACGAAAAAAGGTCATGACAACTTTTAAAATAGCAAAACATATTTACGCCACCAAAGATAAAACGCTGTGAAATTATATAGTTTTAAAGCTAATATTTTAAAAAAATTCATACAAGAGGATTAAAAATCTGGCGGTGGTTGCTTTTATGTCTGATGCTAGTAGAGAAGCCGCTTGAAATATAATGAAATAAAAGCTGTAAAAACATAAGTCGGAAAATATAATTACCCGCTGTAATACTAACCCGCCGTATGTATTAGAAATTTGATAACATGAACAATTTCCATCATGTGCTTTACCTCTAAATTATGTTGTAAAATATTTTTCAAGTATTTCATCGACATGGTAATCCTCTAAACACATTTGCCCTTTTTAAAGTATCAGTAACAATTTATTAAAGAGTAGTTTTCCTCACCTTAAAATGAGGTTTTTCAAAATTTAAACTTATGTATGCTGGAAGAAAGAAACGCACATTGT